AGAAAAAAGCCGGAAGTGGCGCTGTAGCTCAAGTGGTAGAGCACTAGCCTTGAGCTGAAGAGCTGAGGGACAGCGCCCAGGCCCAGAGTTCAGGCCCCATGACCGGACCCAAAAAACAAAAAACAATTTTGATCTTTGATTGATTGTGTCTGCAGGTATAGAGTTCTTGGGTACAGAATGTTCTTTTGCATTCCTTGTTCTGTAATTCCATCATCTAAATGTCCATCTATTCTCCTCTGGAAGACTGTGCGCTCCTTGCAGGTAGACATTGCCAGCAATGACGAGAAAGATAGCAAGTCTGTCAAGTGACTGGTACTTCTATCTGCCAAACCCGAAGCAATGTGATTTACATAATGATCTCATTCCACAATGACAGTAAACCTGTGTTATCCCACTTTACCAATGACTGAAACTGAAGCTCCAAGAGAGACTGAGTCACTTGTTCAAGGTCACCTAGCTGGCAAACTATAGAACAGGACTTGTTCTCATTTTCTGTTGGACTGTAAAGCCTGGGCTTTTCACTCTGCACAAATTCTTTGTCATTGTTTTGCTGCTTGACTCAAATTTCCTTGAATGTTCTTCTGGGGGCATTCACAGATCCTTGTTTCTTGGTGGTAGACAAGCCTTCTGCTAGCTGATAATATACTCTCTGGCTGACATGCTCAGGGCTTGGCTTCCTCGATCCCAGAGGGTGGGCTGAGATGAGAACACTCAAAACTCCGTATGTCCTCCCACCCCCTGCATTCTTGCTGCTGTGCATTCTTTACTACTACACAACTTCTCTCTCCTGCTTATTTCTTAGGAGACACCTAAGCGGCTAGGAGATTCTGACTGGATAATATGGACTATCCAGGGCTGCCGGTCTGGAATGTCCTGATAGAGTTGGTAAGAAAATGGAGCCATAGATCAGTGAAAGGCTCTGTCTAGAGAGAACCCAGAGAGAAGACAGGACCCCTCCCACTTCCCCCACCCCCATTCCATACCCATTCATACAGCCCATCTGGACCCTTCCCCTCTACAGCCTCCTTCCCCTTTCCCCAATCAGAATCCTTATTTACAGGTCCAAGCTCTTGGGATAAGCTCCACCCCTCTCCCAGCATCCTAAAGTTTGGGGGTTGCATTCAAGTCAGAGATTTCCTAGTTGAGGGCATCTTGGAGGCCCTTCTGAGGGTAGCTTGTCCTGGAAGGAAAGGAGAAAGGTGGTAGCAGTTGCTGCCTCCAAGGACATCTGTGTAGCTCCCTGGGGGACCCTCTGCCCTCCCCCGCCCCCTCAGCCCAGGCGAGCAGGGACCAGGCTTGCTTATTATCACCTGACGCTGAGCAGCCACTGATCCCATTGGTGGAGCCAGGCTCTATCTGGCTCTCCCGTTCTTTCTCGCCTTCCCTGCCTCTCTCTCCTCCACGCTGCTTTGAATTTGCTCTTGCCTCTCTTCTCGTGTGTGCTTGCTCGCTCAGCTGGGAACCTCGTCTCACTGGGGGCGGCAGTGGTCGCTGCGGAGTCAGATAAGAGCTGCCTGCTAGGCATGGAAACAGCTTCCTTGGCAGTCCGGAGAAGAAGAAACGCTTGCTGCTGCCTGTAACCCAGGCGTCCGGCTGCTGTCCCCTGCCTGGGGAGCTCATCCACAGAGAGCTCTCTCTCTTTCCTTCCTGCCAGGATTCCCTCTGCAGAGCCCAGTAAAGCCAGGTGAGTACCCTTCTTCCTAGACCATCCTGCTGTCTAGCCTGAGAGGCTGTGACCTGGGGACGCCGGGGTCCTGCCACTGTCTGGGGACCCACTTGGGTTGTCAGGCCTGACGACCTTGCTCCCTTACCCCTGGGTCCTTGGCAAAGAGCTTAACAGCTGGATCTGGTCTCCGGGGCGACACAGTTAGTTACCCCGTGACCATTCTGCTGCAGTCAGCGATGCCAACAGGGACAGAGGGTGGGGGAGCGATCCCTCTGGCACGCTCATGGCTTTCTGAGTGGGTACGGGGAAGGGGGCCCCATGTGAACAACGTATGTGCATACTTGCCAGAAAGCTGGAGACTTACTTGCGTAGCTAGGTCTGTCGGCATGCAGTGATGCTCTGTAAGGGATTTGACCAGCTTTTGGCATGTCTAGGAACATAGCTTTCTTGCATGCGTGAGGTACATGTGTATTTGGGGGGGCATTGCTTATCTGAGTAGCCTGTGGGCATACGTGGGCGGGGACTCTGTGAGGCAGTATATTTAGGGGGTGGACATGTCACCTGTCATGTGGGTAGGAGTGGATGTGAGGGAGGGTAGCAACCAGATGGTTTCTATGTGGGGTGGTACAACTCTGGGGCAAGATGGGGAGGGTGGGTGGGAAGTGTGGGCAGTTACCAGAGTCTGGGACAGACCTGCTTAGGTGCACAAACCTGTTGGCATGTGAAGGATCAGGCTGACAGAGTTTGGCCAGAGACAAACATGTTTTCAAAGTCTGAGTCTTTGAGTCTGGAGAGGACTCCAGAGAGAATAGCAGAGAGCCCAGGCGGGGGCTGGTGTGTGCACGGATGTGCCTATGTGCGCAGTCAGGCCTGTGCTCTGGCTGGCGTGCCTCCTTGAGGATGTGGCACACATACGTGTTGCTGCCTGCGGCTTCCTCTTTTTCTCCAAATATGGCTCGTGAGGAGGGGCACATGCGTGTGGGTGGGCGTGAGACCGTGGACATGAACATGTGTGGGTCTGGCATGAAGGCGACAGCTTGCAGAGGGAAAACTGGGGGACATTCTTAGACTGTGCGAGGTGGCAGAAGCTTCCCCCCTGGCGCCCCCCGCCCCTGTGCGTAGGTGTCTGGGAGTGAGGATGTATGAGGGGGCGTGCACAGGAGTGGGTACCCCCTCCCATGTGCATGCGTGTGTGCCTGCCTGTGTTGCCCTGGGTGGATTCACACGGCAGTGTGGGCGTTTCCAGGGTGTTGCCTCAACCTGTCCCTCACAGCCTGCCCTTCCCAGGCATCTGGGCGTAGAGAGGCAAGGCCCATGCCCACCCTGATCCACCCTGGCTGGCTCTCTCTCCCTGTCATTCTCCCAGGTGAAGGTGGGTAGTTATCTTGGGTCTCCAAGAACTGGAGAGGGGAAAGGATACACAGCCACCCTGAGCCTAGAGCCCTCCGCCCCCCACGCCTACAGCTGCTGGACCTCTAGGAAGACTCTCAGGAAAGGAGGTATTGAGGCAGAGACAGAAAGCATCCATAGGGCAGATTCACGTGGGTGGAGGCTGCTCAGGGCTTCTCAGTCAGGTGGGAGTGTGTCCGTGTTCATGTATATGGGCACATGTATGTATGTGTGTGTGTGTGTGTGTGTGTGTGTGGTGTGTGCATGTGAGGGGCACAGATATGTCCCCCTAGGAACTTCTTGTCAGGATCTAGCGTGATGGTAGCTCCCCACTGTTTCAACACCTGTTCCCCGGATTACAAAGCAATTTTGAGGGTGGACTAGTAGCACCCCTACTTTTACTTACCATAGGATACTCTGTGCATGGAGCACTGGCACTTTAGGGTGGGAGGCCAAGATGAAACAGGACCTGAAGGACGCCGGGGGCAGGTAAGGGCCATCGCCCAGAGCTTTCCCTGGCACCTGCCACCCAGTCAGCCCACAGGTTCATCTAGAAGTGCTAGGTTTTAGAGCAGGCTTAATTGACAGGGAAGTGTGGGCTGGATCTTCTAGAAGCTATAAATAAAGTACCTGCTCTTCTCAGGCACACGTTACCCTTAGCTCCAGGGAAAGAAGAGGAGAGGTAAAGAGAAGAGAGGAGAGAAGGAGGTAGCATGAAGTATGCTGGGTATTGGGCTAGGGGAAGGAAAGCATGAGACTGAGGCTAAAGGCCTGGGGAAAGTGCACCCACGGTTATGATCTCCCCTCCCACGTCCCCACTGGTTCCGTGGAGCTCAGGCGAGCCAGGCTATAGGTAAACACAAGCAAGAAAGATGGCAGAACATAGTCCTTTCACACCGGAAGGGACCCACATGCCAAAGCAGAACTAAAGGAGCAGGAGAGGGAAGAGAGGGAAAACGCAATTGCTTAAAGGAAGAAAATTCACACCAGAAACATATATATCCCATGTATGACCACATGCATACACAGAGATACACACATACATTTACATACTCTGATGCAGCAACCTTAGCTCGGTGGGAAAGATCTTGACCTCTAGAGTATGAACCATTTGCTGGTTGTATGGCCTTGGCCATGTTAGCATCCCTAGTCTCAGCTACCTATCTGTAAAATGGGGAGAATGACGGTAGCTCTTTGGGAAATAACATCAGTGGGATTACTAGAACATGCCACCAATATCAAAACTAGTTATATAAGAATTGAGCGAGAGGATCAGCAAAAGAAGACAGAGTGGCTGTCCAAAAAGTTAGGGGTCCGCAGAGCTTGAAGCCGGCTGTAAGCCAACGACACCCCTCCCACCGTGAATGCATTCACTGGCACCTAATGTGGCACTTGTCCTCTCAGCCCTCACTGGATCACCCTTGGGAGGAGAGAGACCTGAGAACCAGGGTCTTGGCACCTGTGGACTTTGAGCTATCCTGCCTGCCACCTCCTTCCCTGCATGTGCCTCAGCCCCTCCGCAGGTGCTTCCTGCCAGGCCTCCACCTCCCACCCAGCCCCTCCACCCCCACCCTTTCTCGTTTCACGCCTGCTGGCTGAGGGCCCCTCCCTCCTCAGCCCCATCTGCTGCAAATCTGTCCCTGCCCAACGTTCACAGCATACCCACTGCCTTTGCCACCTGTCAGGTGCCATCTGCTACGTGGACCCTCCAAGGAGAGTGCAGAGTCCCGTAGGAAAGACCCCACCCTACCTCCCGCCCTTCCCCTCCCATCTACCTGCTGTCTTTTCCAATTTAACAGGCAGGTGCATTTGATGGGGGTGCTGAAGGTTCTAGTTCAAAAGGTATGCTGGGAGCAGCACATTCCAGAAAGTTCTGCGGTGGGAGGGAGGTGCTGATCCCTTCCTCTGACTCTCAGTCCCCACAGGAGCCAAACCGGAGGGGAGCATGGAGCTACTGTCCACCCCCCACAGCATTGAGATCAACAACATCACTTGCGATTCCTTCCGCATCTCCTGGGCCATGGAGGACAGTGACCTGGAGAGAGTCACCCACTACTTCATTGACCTCAACAAAAAGGAGAACAAGAATTCCAACAAGTTCAAGCACCGGGTAAGGAAGAGCGTGCCTGGCGCCTGTCCCCAGCTGCTGTGCCAGAAGGAGGCAGGATGATGAACCACTTGGGAGAAGTTGGGGCCGATTCGGGGGGCTGGTTTTCTCATTGAGTCATCTTAGGAAAATGACTTCTCTGAGCCTGAGCTTCTTTCTGGTAAAAAGGAAATAATCACACCTAGCCTTGTGGGCTTGTTGGGAGGATTTCATGAGTAATGTGTGTGTGGTGCTTGGCATGATGCCTAGCACAGCGCGAATGCTTTTATAAGCATCAGGACTGGGACTTCTGACAGGGGCAGAGTGCCTGGTAGGTGAGATGGGGAAGATGCTATCACTCCTAGGGGTGATGTCTCAAGTTCTAACAGGCACAGAACGTAGCAGCCTTGTCGACCAGATGAGCAACATGGTCCTCGGACAGGGGTGAGACCTTTTGTGCTGGATACTCGATGTTCTTGTCATTCTGTGTGCCCCTTACCTGCCTACTGGTCTAGAAAAGGAATGTGAGAGGGTCCTCACTGGTGTGTCTTTTCCCTGGGTTACCAGCTGGTATGGGAGCAGGTGGGAGAGGGCCAGCTGGTAGTGAGGTAGGGAGAAGCTGGCTCCCAGGACGCACGCAGGCCTGGGGTGGGCTACTCACCCTCGCTCCTCCATCTCTCTGGATCTGGCTTCTCCTGATCCGGGTGTCTTTTGGCAGGCCAGTTGCCACGGTGATGTGAATGTTCAGCACCACCCCCTGAGTCCTCCCCCCCAAAGAATAAGGCATATTTTTCTTTCCTCCCTGGCTTCTCAGCATTTGCTGTTGCCATGGAGACGGCGCTGCAGTGTGCAGAGCTCTCGAAGTTTCCCTCAAAAAATGAAGGTCTGGCTACTTTCAACTTTGGTGGCCTCCTCTCAAGTGGCTTTCCCCCTCTGTTCCTAGAGAATAGGGTGGAAAGCTGGAGAGAGCCGGTGGTGTGGCTGTCCCAAACCACTGCTTGCTTCCGTAGGTGTATGGTGGTCAAGAGACAGACCTATTGGGTCCCCAAGATTCTCTTCCTTCTTGGAAAGAAGAGGGGACCATATGAGGAGTCAGGATTCTGGGAGAACACTGGTTGGGGTAACCTCCAGATTGACTCTTGGCTCTCGGTCTGTACCCCGTTTCCCAGGATGTCCCTACCAAGCTTGTGGCCAAGGCAGTGCCGCTACCCATGACGGTGAGAGGTCATTGGTTCCTGAGCCCCCGTACAGAATACAGTGTGGCTGTGCAGACGGCGGTGAAGCAGAGCGACGGCGAGTACCTGGTATCGGGCTGGAGCGAGACAGTGGAGTTCTGCACTGGGGGTGAGGCCCTTCAGTACATTGCTGTTCTGCTTGCTTGGCATATCTGGCTGAGTTAGACCATGAAGGGCTCCATCTTTTTTGTTGTTGTTGTTGGTAGTGGTGGTGGTCATAGGGCCTGAACTCTGGGCCTGGGTTCTTCAGCTCAATTCTAGCACTCTACCACTTAAGCCACAGCGCCACTTCCGGCTTTTTCTGTTCATGTGGTGCTGAGGAATCGAACCCAGGGCCTCATGCATGAGGGACAAACACTCTACCACTGAGCCACCTTCCTAGCCCCAAGGGCGCCATCTTAACCCAGCAAACACTCATGAACACCTAAGCATATTGTTGAGGCCAGAGGGAGGCAGACACACCGGCCACGACACTCCCCACCCTCAGAAAGAGCTCTTTTTTCTAACAAAAGATAGATCAGATTCTATACATTGGCAATACCATCTCCAGAAAGGGATGAACTTACTTTTCTGGCTTGAGCCAAACATATTTTAAAAACATGTGGCAAAACAAAACAGACGTAAGATAAAAATCTATCCTTGGCCAAGTGCTAGTAGTTCACGCCTATAATCTTAGCAACTCTGTAGGCTAAGATTTGAGGATCATGGTTCAAAGCCAGCACAGGCAGGTAAGTCTGTGAGACTCTTAGCTCTAATTAACCACAGTAAAGCCAGAAGTGGAGTTGTGGTTCAAGTGATAAAATGCTAGCCTTGAGCAAAAAAACAAAACAAAACAAAAAAAACAAAATCAAAAAACAAAAACAAAACACCTGAGGCATAATGCTCAGGTCTTGAGTTCAAGTACAAAACAACAAACCAACCATAACTACTTTTTTTCTTCTTTTTTGTCTAGGGGCTGTCCCTTAGCTTTTATGCACAAAGATGGTGCTTGACCACTTAAGCCACAGCTTAAGCTTCCAGCTTTTTCTGTGTGTGTGTTGTTAATTGGAGATAAGAATCTCAGGGACTGGGGCTGGGAAGGTAGCTCAGTGGTAGAGCGCTTGCCTTGCATGCATGAGGCCCTGGGTTCGATTCCTCAGCACCACATAAGCAAAAAGAAAAAAGCCGGAAGTGGCACTGAGGCTCAAAGGGGAGAGCGCTAGCCTTGAGCTGAAGAGCTGAGGGACAGCGCCCAGGCCCAGAGTTCAGGCCCCACAACCGGACCCCCCCCCAAAAAAAAAGAATCTCTGGGACTTTCCTATTGGAGTGGGTAAAGATGGGCAGGGGATGGCTCTAAGCCAAGATCCTCAATCTCACCCTCCTGAGTAGCTAAGGTGACAAGTGTGGCCACTAGCATCCTGCAGCTCTTAACTACTTCTAGGCAAATGGTGCAGTAGTGTTCAATGAATTTACATTGTTATGCAACTAATTTCCATGACTTTTCCATCTTGCAAAACCGAAACTCTATGCTCATTAAACAACCACTCCCCTTTTCCCCTCCCCCAAGCCCAGGCAACCGCATCCTACTTTCTGTCTAGGATTTAGACTACTGTAGGTGCCTTGCCTAAGTGGAATTATCCAGCATTTGGCCTTTTTGTGACTGGCTTATTTCTTTTAGCATAATATCTCAAGATGCATGAGTTACTGTATTCTGTGCCAGAATTTCTTTCCATAGTATACAGAGACCACATTTTTTTTTCCCTCAGTGGTCAGTGGTCTCTTTAAAAGCATTTTTTATTGTTATCATAAAGGTGATGTACAAAGAGGTTATGGTTACATGTCAGGTAAAGACTATATTTCTTTTTGGACAGTGTCATCTCTGCCCTTATTCTCTCCCATCCCCACCCACAAGTTATATAGTTCATTTTCAACATAGTGTCTAGTGAGTCTCACAGTTGCAGTTGTTCACTCTTTGTCCCTCCATTTCTGTGCCCCCTGTCAGCGGTCCCTTTTTGGAACGGCTGTGCCTCGCTAGTCCTGAGTCTCTCCTTAGCCTGGCAAAATGGCCCCCACTGGATGGCCTTGCAAGCTCTTTCTGCGGAGCCTAGCTTACAGATGTCAGCGGGACCCAACACCAGCCTTGTGTGTGCTTCCTCACAGATGACCCAGGATCTGCCCCGTAACTTTCCTTCCCTTTGGCATCCATGTGAGAACTGCTCCAGATTGCTCTCTGTCCCAACTAAGGGACAGGGAACATTCTCTGCCCTCAGGCATCTGAGGCGGCTGACTCCCTCTTCTGCCAAGCTCTCTGCCCAAATCTCCTTGAGCTGCCACGAATCTGACTTTCGGGAGGTATTCCTGGCCCTTGTGAGAGAGGCTTCCTGTTTTGCCCCAAGAACCGCATAAGCAGTGAGCATTTAAGTCTAACTGGGGAGCTGGAGATGGCTGCAGTCCAGTCTGTGCTCCTCTTGCCAAATCGAGTGCCCAATCAGGGACGCATCTACAATGAGCAAAGGGCACCCTTGCCTAATTTTACCAAGAGGCTGTCGAATCTAGCAGCAGGGGGCCAATTTTCCCGTCTTGGTGGCAACCCTTCCCTGTTTGTCCTGAAAGGCCCAAGCAGAGCACCCAGCACCGCAGGCCTGCGTCCACTTAAACATTCACATGCTTTGTGGGCCCAGGCTCTGTTCTCCACAAGACCACCTCTGTAATTATAACTGGCTTTCATGCAGTGTGTGTGTGTGGGGGGACCTGCTGCATTTGAGACACCCTCCTCCAAGGACCTTGCTTTCTCCCCATCCCCCACTTCAAGTCCTTCTTTTGCCTACTTAGCCTCTTTCCACACTCTGAACCTCTAGCAATGAGGACACAGAGGTGATGAGGACAGACAGCATGAAACTCTCCATGTTGCCAGCCAGTGCCAGCTGGCTTGTGCCCATCTGAGCCCAAGCTGTTGTAGGAGCTAGCCCTTATCCCCCTCCCTGACTGCTCCCGAGGACAGAGGTTGACCAGCACAGCACAGTGGGGGTGACGGGGGGAAGAGGTGATGACCCTGCAGCTGGTCTTGGCTCACCTTGTCCTCCTGGACTCTTGCAGATTATGCTAAGGAGCACCTGGCCCAGCTGCAGGAGAAAGCTGAGCAGATCGCTGGACGAATGCTGCGCTTCTCCGTCTTCTACCGCAACCATCACAAGGAGTACTTCCAGCATGCCAGGTATGGCAACGCAGGCTTCCAGGCTGCTCCTGTCTCCCGCAGCTCTCCCTCCCCCTGCCCTGGCCGGCTGAGGTCACCACTGCTGTGGACGACCGGACCCTCTCCCCTGGATTCCCTCTGGCCTCACGGCATGGTTGATTCAGAAGGGACTGATACTCTGGGATTGGGCTCAGGAAAGGTGGGTGCTCTGGAACAGGATCACCTGGCCAAGCACTATGCTGGCAAGCCCAGGTGATTGAGGTCTTGCTTGATCTCCCTCTGGGATAGTTCCTTCACTGGCGGCAGCTGTGTTTTCATTTCAGGACCAGGAGCACAGGGGAATTAGAAAGGAGAAGGCAAAATAAGAGCTTCAGGGTTCAGGGAACGTTGGGGAATCACTGTTTTCCATGTTGGGGGCTGAGGAGCCCGAAGGCATCATGGGGAATCCTTTAGGGAACTGCTGAGAGGTACTGGTGGAGGGGCTTGGTGGGTCCTACCTTGATGGTCCACCAGAGCAGCCTCAGTCTTAGTTACCTGTGTGTGATTTCTGTGGGGTGGGGGAGGGGAAGAGCTTCTCAGTGTTTGAAAATTAAGCATCCTATCCCGCACCCTGAGCCTGCAGATGAGCAGCCTGAGGTCGCTGTGAGCCTTAGTTGATCAGCTGAGCCAGCAAGTTTGTCATCACTCAGGCAGCCAGGATCAAGCAACAGTGAGGCAGGTCAAGGGCTGGCCCACTCACCCCCATGCCGGCCCACACTGCTTCAAATCTATGTCCTTCTAAGCCCAGCCAAGGCAAGCTGCCTTTATCATCATTATAGGTGAGAATCTGGACCCCACGCCCCAGGGCAGTAAGGACCTCAAGGATCTTTAGTATTTTTGTAAGAAAAACACAGGCAATGGTCTTGTTTGAGCTCCCTGATCAGTCAGAAAGAGACGGAACACCTACGTGTGCCAGCTCCCTACTGGAGAGGAAGATGATGGCACAGGCTTAGCGTCTGGTCAGGGCTACAGTAGGAGAAGATTTCGTGTCTGTTTGTACCTTGTGGAGACAGTGGGATGGTGGGGGGTGCTGGGAGTCCAACCAGTACACTCTTCCCAACCACGCAGCAGCCAAGCCCCAGCCGAGCTAATTCGTGCCATTCCCCCACCCCCCTTCCTTTTGGCATTTCTTCCTGGCAAGCAGGACCCACTGTGGGAACATGCTTCAGCCCTACCTGAAGGACAACAGTGGCAGCCACGGCTCCCCCACCAGCGGCATGCTCCACGGTGTGTTCTTCAGCTGCAACACCGAGTTCAACACTGGCCAGCCCCCCCAGGACTCCCCCTATGGCCGCTGGCGCTTCCAGATCCCCGCCCAGCGCCTCTTCAACCCCAGCACCAACCTCTACTTTGCAGACTTCTACTGTATGTACACCGCCTACCACTATGCCATCCTGGTTCTGGCACCCAAGGGCTCCTTGGGGGACCGCTTCTGCCGTGACCGCCTGCCCCTCCTGGACATTGCCTGCAACAAGTTCCTGACCTGCAGTGTGGAGGATGGGGAGCTAGTCTTCCGCCATGCCCAGGACCTCATCCTGGAGATAATCTACACCGAGCCGGTCGACCTGTCCCTGGGCACCCTGGGGGAGATCAGTGGGCATCAGCTCATGAGCCTGTCCACTGCCGATGCCAAGAAAGACCCCAGCTGCAAGACCTGCAATATCAGTGTGGGCCGCTAGGGACTCCTGGGGAGCTGGGGAGCTAGGGAGATGGTGAGAGGGTAGAGATGGGTGGCTTAGGTTCAGGGAGCTGGCTTTCTCTCCCCTGCCCCCTGCTCTCCACTCTGTCTGTCCACCCCTCTCCCTTTGGCAATAGAGGCAACAGATGGCGGTCCTCTTTATTAGGGTGGCCCAATCCAGGCCCCGTGGACTTGGGAGGGCTTTCCAGCCTCAGTAGGTTGGCAGGTGGGCTGCATTTCCAGAGAATTCTCCCTTCCTCCGGTTTCCCTCTCCCTTTCATGACTCATCCGGGCCTCCACCTCCCAGAATCCTACCCACCTCCCGGGCTCTCCCAAGAAGCCTCTCTGGGCCAAAGCCCACATGTAGCCTGGCTGTTTCCATGGAGACAGAGAGCTGTGGGGCATCTCTTCCTTAGCCCCACCTACCCCACTCAGGGCCACCCCAGGAAGCCCCCTCCCTGCTGAGTTGGGCCTGGGGGTTTCCCACTCCAGGCCAGGACCCTCCCTCTATAAATAGTCACCTGCACTGCTCTCACTCCCTGGCTGCTCCTTACCCCAAGAGCCTGTGCCCTGCAGGGGAGAGCTATCCCTTCCCCCTCCCTCCGTTAGCCCCACTGATGTCTGCCCGCTGATGTCGAGAAAGAGGCCCTCTTTCGTCTTTCTGGCCTTGGGAGCCTGTGGGCTCTTGGGGTTTTCCTGTTCATCTACCTGGAGATAATCATTCCCCAGCAAACCTTCCTTGCTCAGATTGTGTGGGAGCTGGAGCAGCAGCCTTGGGGGGCCTGGAACAGCAGTCGCTGGGGTCGAGGAGGGGGCGGGACACCCCTGAGACCCCTTCCTCAGCAGGAATGAGCTGCCTCATGCCTTGATGGGGCCTGATTTAGAACTAGGGGACAGAGGGTTACTCGGGGAACGCTAGTACCCCACCTGCCACTGTGCTGACTGCTCCATGACGCTGTGTGAGCTGCACTGTGGGCACTCTGCTTCTGGCACCTTGGCCAGCACACTGGCCCTCTCTGCTCTCGTGACCACTGCCTGGGGAGTTCTTGATAAAGCCCTCCCTCGGTTCCCTGTGTTTTTATCTTGTTCCTACTGTCATACGGGTCATGGGGGTGGTCCCCAGGGCAAGCCAAAGTAGTTGGAGACATGGGTGAGGACTGGAGCCAGTGAAGAGCAGTCCTCACGGTGACTTTCCCAGAGATGATAGGGACAAGGCACACGCAGCTGGAGTTCTGTGAAGAAGGACAAAAGGGCGGGCAGACCAACAGGCCACACACTGGTGAACTACAGACAGGTGGATGGCTGGTTGTCAGTCAGCTGTCTCGTTGGGGTGGGCCAGGAGGTCTGGGGCTCTGGGCGAGTGTGGAGAAGAGGAGGCAGCCCCCAGGCCCTTCTCCCTGTGCTGACAGCAGTGCCGTTGAGCAGCTGCTGTCCTTCCCCTGGCTCTGGTGTCCTCCCCAGGTGGGGACTCGCCCCGCCTATGCTGTGCTTGCAATATGTACCAATAAACCACATGGCCTGAAGCTCTTGTCTGTGTTGATGCATTTAGGCTGCTATAACAAAATACCACAGGCTGATGACTTAGGAAAAACAGAAGATTTCTCTGATAGGTCTAGAGATGAACAAGTTCAAGATGAAGTGTCTGAAGAGGCCCCACCTGTATGCATAGGTAGCCATTTTCTCCCTGTGTCCCCACAGGGTAGAAGGGCTGAGCAGACTCCCTCTGCTTCTCTCATGAGGGCTCTCATCACATTTGTGAGGGCTCTACACTCATGACCTGGCACTTCGCCAAGGCCACCATCACAGTGAGGTTAGGGTTTCAACACATCAACTTGGGGCTGGGGCTCATGCTTACAATCCTAGCTACTCAGGAGACCCACATCTGGAGGATGGAGGTTCAAAGTCATCCCAGGCAGAAAGCCTATGAGATTCAATCTCCAAAATAGCCAGCAAAAATGACAGGCTAGAGGCATGGCTCAAGTGGTAGAGCACCAGTAAGCACGCTGATTGAGCAGGGGGGCCTGAGCTCAAACCCTGGTACCAGCAGAGAAATAAAATTTTGGGGTATTGGGTCACAGGCACTGAGGTGACAGCAGCACCTCTGGCCTGGGGAAGGGGGGAGGGGTGAGTCTATACAGGAGCTCGAGTGAGGATGCCCAGGGCAAGGCATCTGGCTCCTAGTGTGAACCCAACTCCTGCTGTGGGTGGCTGGGCTCAGAGTCTAGAGCCACAGCTTAGGAGGGGTCTTTGGTGGTCCCTAGATGCCTGTGTAGGTCCTACACACTACTGCAGGCTGTCATGCCGCAGACTCAGATGCCACTGGATTTCCCACCCAAGAGCCAGTGTCCCCTCCCCCAGCAGTGCTCCTCTGTTGTAGATCTGAGTCACCTCTGCATCTATTATTATGGGCTTATTAAAATGGTCCTCAGCTGGAGTGGAAACGCTCCAGAATAGCCAGAGGTACCTTACCAACAGTCTGAGTCAATGCCAAGTTCACATGTGTCAGACTGTCAGACTGTGAAGCATGGCCTCTTTGGGATAGGAAGGAAAGCTGAAGGGCAGCAACCACTTCCTGAGGGCCTACTGTGCAGACACGGACTGATGCTTCCATACTGATCCACCCTGTTAGTCCGTACAGTGGCCCTTGTCGGGGTAGTATTCCTATCTGGCAGATGGAAGAGCTGAGGCACAAAGAAATTAAAAGCCTGGCCCATGTTCACACCAATTCAGAAGCAAGTCTTTGAATGCTCTGTGCCTTCCTCCCCAGGCATATGTCAGGGGCCACCCTGCAGCTAGACACAGGCAGGTCCTTTCTCAGAAGTGGTGACCCTCTGCGGGGGGGAAGGTCTCCTCTTCTAGCTAAGTGAGATCTAATTCCGGAATATCACCAGGGGGTGCTGTGGAGTCACACATGCCACGGAGGCTTGTTTTAAAGTAGTGGGCAGCACTTGAGCTCATGGTTCCAAGGATGGGGAATGACTCTGGGGTCCTCCTCCTGTCTCTGGACGGTCTGGTTTTCCAGAATGCTCCAGGGGGAATGGGTTCAGTTTTCTTCAGAGACCTTCTGGATTTCTTGGGAAGTGGGACTGGCTCTCAAGGTCTTCTAATGGCGCTAAGAGCAGAGAACAAAGGTATATGTTGCTTGGGCGGGGGGGGGAGCTGCTGTAGCTTCCTCCAGACAGCCTGCTTCTCCGTCCTCTGTCCAGATGGCCACTCCTGGCATACAGCCAGTATGGACTGCACAAAGCACCAGTCAGATAAAGCAGGGTCAGGGCATCTGCTGCAGTCTGACCTGGCGTCTAATCTGACCCAGTAGAAGGAGAGCGGTCCCTGTATGAGGCACATGCACATTTACACCATATGTGCACACACGTGTACCTTGCCTGGGCTGCTCCAGACAGTTCCTGCTCCATGGACGACTGTAGACTGTGGCTCTAGCTCTGCCTGCAATCAGGCAGGGAGGGAAACCAAGGCTGAGGTCAGAGAGTAAAGCTCCAGGTTACAGGTGTCGGGGGGGGGCTCTAGTGTGCAGGCTCTAACACACAGACAAACCCAACACAAACACATGGCTGCACACGTGTGTTCGCCCACACATACACAACTCCCACATTCTCCTGAGCTCTGTTGTGTATCCCGACTTCCTTCCCTTTTCTTTCCTCGCAGGCTAGCATCTTCACTTTTAATTCTGGGTAAATAAGAGCCCAAGTCTACCAAAAATCAGAAGGAGAGAAGGTGCCAGCTCTGAGGACCAAAAGCCAATTTCTTCTAGCTTTGGTATGCATCTCTTCTTCATGTTAGAAATAAGAGGTGACTCGGGACCAAGAAAAGGGACAAAGAGGGGGCCATCCCCTGAAATGGAGGGAAGCCTGGATTCAGGAAGCAGAGCTGAGGTGATTGGCTATAAAATAGCGTGGCCACAGCATCTGGAGGAGATTGGAACCAGATGTCCCTGGGTGGGGGCAGGGAGGGTGTGCGGCTGGAGCCGCAGCTCATCAGAAGGAGGCTGGGTTGTGGGGGACCTCCCAACTTTCTGGGGAAAACATCTGGCTGCCCTCTTCCCCCAAACTCTCCAAGTCAGGCACTACTATTTTTGCAAACTAGAGCAGCAAATCTTTTCACAGATTCCAGCATCAGCCTTGTGCAGAGGGGCAGTCCAATACAGGGTGTGACTCAGGAGGTATCCAGAAAGGCCACCAGATGGCCAGAAATATGTCCCTGCTGCCCCACAAGCTCCTCCTTGTTGTGAGTTGGGCTGAGCTCTGTCCCAAGCTCTGAATGCCTGACTGGAAACCAGTGAACAGGAGGTTTGCTTTTAGTCTAGGAGTAAGTATCTGGCAGAGAAAAGGTCTCTTATGAAGAGCCTGCTGTTTGACAAGCACAGTGACAGGCTCTCCTCAAAGGTCATCTTGTTCCTTCATTATCTTGACAGGTGTTATTGTCACCAGGGCTGACAGATGAAGAAGAAACTGAGGCTCAGGTTAAGTGACTCATCCAGTGTCACACAGCCACAAAGGGTTCAAAACGAGCTGTTCACTCTCAAGCGCATCCTTCCTTCCTTCCTGGTTTGAACTCAAGGTTTAGGTGCTGTCCCTGAGCTTCTATGTTCAAGGCTACCACTTGAGCCACAGCTCCACTTCCAGCCTTTTGGTGGTTAACTGGAGGTTAAGTTTCATGGAATTTCCTTCTGGGGCTGGTTTCCAACCATGACCTTCCAATCCCAGCCTCCTGAATAGCTAGGATTACAGGTGTGAGTTACCAGCACCTGGCTTGGTCTTTCTTTTCCTTTCTTATTTCCTCCTCTTTCTTTCTCTCTTTTTTCCTTTTCTTTTTTCTCTTTCCTCCCTTCTCTTTCTCTCTCTCTCTTTCTTTCTTGAGAAGCTTGCAGGAAGGGTGAGCAAGAGAGGAAGGAATGGAGAAGCAAAAAAGGAGTGAGAAGCTGGGCACCAAGGGCTCACATCTGTAATCCTAGTTACTCAGGAGAATGAAGCCAGCCCGGGCAGGAAACTCTTATCTCCAATTAAATTACAGAAAAAGCTGGAAGTGACACTGTGGCTCAATGGTAGAGTGCTAACCTTGAGCAAAAGGAGCTCAGGGACAGTGTCCTGACCCAGAGTTCAAGCCTCAGGACCAGCAAAGAAAAGAAAAGAAAAATGACAACAAAAAGGAGTAAGAGACAGAGCTAGGCACCCAACTTTGCTGACTTTTGAGAGTTAAGCCAACAGTTTGCCTTGGAAACTTGAGCTATTTCTCAAGGATCTTAGCTGCTTCAACAGCCTGGACCCCTACAATCTAGGCTGCTTTGGAGTCTTGACACTGGGTTTATTTGCCTCTGACTACTGTAGGAAAGGCACTGGGAATAGGTGACAGGTTTGGTGAACTGAGGCCCAGGGAAGAGGGCAACTGGCCAGCATTGCAGAACTAAGTGTGGCAAAGTCTGACTGCCAAACTCATGGATATTGCTCCCAGAGCCCAGCTTGGAAGCTCTGGGGAATGCTGACTGCCACCTGATTCTGGGATTCAGAGTGCACAGAGGAGGAGTCCATCTTGGCTCTTCCACTGGGGTGGGCACTTGGGCCACTGGGAGACCTCATGGGTAGGTGGCTGGAAGAACCATGAAGTCTTCCACAACTAAGGCCTCACCTGCGCTGAGCCAGAATTGGCCTAGTTCAGAGCCTGAGGCAGCCAGAAGGCGAGGGTGGGCTGGTCCTAGAGAACTGTTTTTATTTTTACTGAATGCTGAAATAAGTTTCTCTGGCCTGCAGCCAGCTCTGCGCCGCTTCTCCCACCCCAAGGAGAGCTCTGTTCCTTGTCTTCTTCCCTGCCCCCCTCCACAACCATCTTGTCTTCCTTTCCTACTCTCTGTCCAACAAGTGTTCCTCTTCCTCCTCCTCCCCTTCCTCCTCCTTCTCTGCCTCACCATCAGAGCCTACCCATCATCCACACTTCAGGCTGTCTGCTTATAAGAATTTGGGGGTGGATATGTGGGCATCCAGGCAGGCCTGTCCCCTACTTCTTGGCTGACTGTGACAGAGGACCTTAACTACTATGGGGACCTGCTTAGTGGTTTGGAGGTCCACTGGGTGACGCAGGAGCTCACACCACAAGTGCTGGCCCTGCACCAAAGCCTCCCACACTAGTTCTGTCTGGGTAGGGGGAATCCAAGACATTCTGCACTTTTTACTACGGGTACAAGGTTTCCCTTGTGGGCCCGTGTTACAGCCCCCCCAGCTGCCTCTGAATATGGGCTCTGGGAAGGCCAAGAGGCTCACTCACGTCCTCTGAGGGGTCTTGCTCTGTCTGGAGAGGATTATATCATGATCTTGGCTTCTGTAGGCCTATGGCTTTGCGACTGTGATCCTTTGAGCTTAGGAACAACCTGAAAGGCTGGTATACGCTGCTGTCACCATTGAATACAAATGTTGCTACAGAGGAGCTGACAAACAGTGTTGGGGTAAAATGTCCAGACCCCCATTTGGGTGTCTTTCCATCCTGCCCATGGCTCCCCAGGCTGCGAACCCCTCCTAGAGCAGGGAAGTAAGGATAAGCAGCAGCCCCCTCTGGGTATCTCTTGTCCCTTGCTGGGCTCCAATGCCTCACCTGTTGTCAGGGCTGGAGGGAAGGGCCACAGCTTGATGGTGGACAGCTGGCTTCCTGAAAGAGGACCCCACACATACAACTGCGTGCACCCCAGTCTATGGAAAAAGCCAACAGGGGCCTACCATGCCACACTGTTCCCCGGGAGGCGGGGGTCCCTAAGTCCAGACAGCATCTGTCCCAGCACTTGCCCCTGAAATAGTGATGAGCCTGGGGCTAAGAGAAGACTGGAAGTCCACAGAAGGTTCCTGGGGAACTCTGGCTTGGAGTGGGCTGCTGGCTGTCTCCAGAATCTGGGTGTGGCCAGCTCAGGCAGGAAAGCCTTGTCTCCAGGTCCCCTCTGCTGTCTTCCCCTGAGAGAGCCAGGCAGAGAAGGGAGGTGGCAATGGCAGGAAGGAGGCTGGACAAGACACAGCCTCAGCTTGCCAGGGAGGGAGGCCGGAGCTGGAATGTCTGCTCCCTGGCTGCGGAGCAGTGTTTGCCTCTCGTCTCCAAGACAGGAGGACTCACAGGGCAGCACTCAGCGTCTGACCCTCAGAAAGACAGGCACTGAGCAACAACAGAGGACATGTCCTAGCTGGTGTGGGCTCCCCAGCCAGACATCCTGCAGCCCACTTACTCTTTTTCTAGACAAAGACAGAAAAACCAGATGGACAAACACCCCCTACCCCCAACTCCCTTTACATGCCTCCTCCCTCCCATGAAACAGCCTCTTTATAGAATGTTCTACCTCTCTTGTGTGGGAGGGCTACAGCAGTGTGTGTGTGTGTGTGTGTGTGTGTGTGTGTGTGTGTGTGTGAGAGAGAGAGAGAGAGAGAGAGAGAGAGGAGGCCTACAGCCCAAGTGTGAAATCACACCCTTAGGCATCCTGGAATTGTGGGAGAGAATGGCAGCCAGCAAAGCCAGGTGTTCTGCCGTGTCCTGGCCTCAGATACCCAGCAAGCCTGCACATCTGGAAGGCGTCTCCCCGTCCCCCTGTCCCAGACAGCATCTGGCACGGGCTGTGAGCTGTATCACTTTCAGTTTATTGGCTGGTGCACCCTGGTGTGGCTGACCAGCCGTGAGCCTGCAGCAGCCCTGTCGTGTTTCTCCAGCTCTTCCTCTCCATCTCCTACTGTGGCTCCCAGGGGACACGCATGGACACTCATGCTCCAGGAAACCAGGGAAGGGGGTCAAAATAAAACCAAAATGAGGCTGGAGACAGGGCAGGAAATGTACATTACAATGAAGATTACAGCCGCCGGCTATACACAATACAGCGTGTACGACGGCAGGGATGGCAGCCGGCTCCCACTGACAGGTCCTCTTGCCACCGGGCAGGGCTTGGGAAGAAATGGTCACTTCAAGTGTCTCAGTAGAAGCTCTGGCTCCCTGGCCTAGGCCCCTCACTCTGGTGGGGAGACTGCAGACAGGTGGCATGTGTGAAGTCCAACCCCTACCTCCTGAAGACAGCCCCACTCAGCCCAGCAGCGCTGCAGGTCCTGGTGCCTGGTGGTAAGGGACGGTGTGTCACCTCTGCCTGCCTCCCTCACTGTCCAGTCTAGGTGACTGAGGGAAGCCAGACTTCCGTCCCCGCGAGAGGGCAGTGGTCACTTCCTGCTGTGGAGTGTGTCCTGGAACTTGGTGCTCGTGTACCGCAGGTGGAATCCTTTCTTGGTGATGGTGTCATCTGAGTGGAACTTCACCAGGACAGAATCTCCAGCAGAGTACACCTCCTCAGGAGGCTGCAGAGAAAGACAGGCATGAGGTGGAGGGAAGAGGCTGGGACTGCTCTCTTCCCTCTGCAACATCCTAGGCTCACAGGAAGGCAAGAGGTTTTGTTACTTTGGCCAGATCTCCTAACTCCATGAAGCAGTGTCTACCAGGCCTGGTGGTACACGCCCATAATCCCAGCACTCTGGGGCAGAGGCAGGAGAAACGTGAGTCTGAGGCCAGTCTAAGCTACATAGTGAGTTTTTAGCCATCTGAGACGACATAGCAAGACCCTGTATCAGGAAAGAAGGACAAGATTGAATGGTGTTTAATGGGATACTCGAGGGGAAGTAAATTGTTTTAAATACAGAGTCACCTTCCTTTTTTTTGGGGGGGGGTCCGGTCGTGGGGCCTGAACTCTGGGCCTGGGTGCTGTCCCTCAGCTCTTCAGCTCAAGGCTAGCACTCTACCACTTGAGCCACAGCGCCACTTCCGGCTTTTTTCTTATGTGGTGCTGAGGAATCGAACCCAGGGCCTCAAGCATGCAAGGCAAGTGCTCTACCACTGAGCCACCTTCCCAGCCCCCCCTTTTTTTTTCTTTTCCAGTTGTGGGGCTTGAACTTGGCATGGGCGCCGCCCCTGAGCTCTTCAGCTCAAGACAAGCACTCTACCACTTGAGCTACAGTACCACTTCCGGTTTTCTGGTTGTTAATTGGAGATGAGTCTCACAGACTTTCCTGCCCAGGCTGTTTCTGAACCTTGATCCTCAGATCTCCGCCTCCTAAGTAGCTAGGATTACAGGTATGAGCCACCCGGCACCCTGCTAGCCCTCTGCACTTCAAGCTTGAAAGGTTGCTGGGGAAAAAACCAGCTGGAGGATGAAGGTAAGAGTGAGCGACAGCAGAGGTCGCTGTGGAGGCCGCATCCTGGCTGACCCGGAGTCTTGGACTTGCAAAGGAGGTGCCTGCCAGGTGGTGAAGTAAACCACCGGGAAAGGACAATCTCCCCCAGACTGCTGTCCTCCACCATCCCCATCCATCCTGGATCCCACCATGGTCTATGCCAGGTGATGCCCTTCCTAAAGTGGTTCTACATCCCCACAGGGATGCTCCAGTCCTCCATGCATAGAAAGAACCATTTGTGAAAGCCTTAGAGACCTTTCCCACATCCCATCCCTTAGCTCCAGCTGAAGAAGTCTCTGGAAGAATCACCCTGGAGACATTCCATTTGGTGTGTGACTCAGAGGAAGGGGCAAAGTGGGAAGAGGTGTGAGCTTGGAAGTCAGATGCCAGAGCAGCTTGGCGGGTGGGCTGGAGTTTTGTACCAGCTTTTCACTGTCTGCTTTCCTTGGCCCGGCTCCTGCTGTTCAGGCAAGGCTCCTAAGGAGAGCCCCCAGCAATGCTGGGCCCAGCAGCTGTTGCCACTCCTTAACCCTTCCTGGACTTAACCTTCCCAGGCACCAGGGTGCTCTGGAGCACAGCCTTGAGAGGTGGGAGTCAGAGACTGCTTCCGAATGGGCACGCGTGTGAATCCAAGCATGTGTGTGTGTGTGTGTGTGTGTGAGGGGTGGGGGAAGATAACAGATTTATTTAAATGTAGAATTTCTAAAAACAAAGAAGAAAGCATGGGGGGACGAGGAAGGGAGGCTAGGGGAGAGAGGGAGAGAGAGAGAGAGAGAATAGCTCTTGTTGGGAGGAAAAGAAACGCGCTTGGGCAGCTGGCTTTTCACAGGACAGGGAGGGGCAGAGTAAGAAATGAGGGTGCTTTAGCGTGGTGTGGGTGGTCCCCTTGTAATCCTAGCTACTCAGAAGGCTGAGATCTGGAAGATCTCAGTCAGAAGCCAGCCTGAACCAAAAAGCCAGTCTCACAGAAAAGTGTGTTAGCCTCCATCTCCAATCAAGCAGCAAAAATCTGGAGACATGGTTCAAGTAGTAAAGTGCCAGCCATGAGCAAAGACTCTGAGCTCAAGCCCAGGTACCAGAAAATAAAAAAAGCAATAGAAAAGAAATGAGGGTTTTTACGGCTCTATTGGTCTAGTGAGTGACAGCTCAGACTGGCTCTGGTCCCAACTGTGCCTCCACTCCAGGGACAGCTGAGGGAACAAGGGAAAACTCCATCCCTTCCTCAGACACAAGCTATCTTCGCAAACCCAGCCAAGCTGGTCCAGAGCTGGTATGGGTCAGGTCAGAGCCTGGACCAGAGGTTTTAGAAACCTGTGTTGCCCAGAAAAGACCCTGATCTCCTTGGTGGCGATGGGTCAGTATAGGGTGGCCTTTCTGGGCACCCACCAGGCTCAGTGTCCTGGCTCTCATTGAGGGTACCTTCAGGGCACTGGGTCTCAGGATGGGGAGTAAGGATTAGAAGGTAATGGGGTGCTCACCCCAGAGCCGCAGTAACGCCCCAGTCTTGGAGCTGTGCTGTCATAACCATCGAAGAGCTCCATGTAGTCGTAACCACAGTCAGTCTCCTCCTCCACCTCGAAGGTCTGGAACACCAGCTCCACGCCATAGCCCTCCTCAGCCACGATGACCCATTCGCAGTCCACACCCCCAGGGTAGTTGTTGTCACCAAATTGGGCATGAGAGTACAGGTCCTTAGTCTTCACATCTGCCCGCACCTGGCCTCCACACTCTGCAGGAACAACAGGATTGGCCACTCCCCCTGACCACTGCCACACATAGCCTGGGCCACTGACAGATAGGCTGGGAGTGAGGACTTGGCCCAGAGCAGGCGTTTTGCTGTGTCCTCTCTGGAGAGATGGTTACGGATGCTCTGGGGTAGGGTGCCCGGATGGAAGGTGGCAGAGTACAAGCTGACATGTGCTCTAGCTGAGAGTTGTCACAGAGGCATGTGGCCCAGTGTTGCCAGAACATACCTTTTCAAGAGAGAAGCTGTACTTCTTGGTTTTATGAGAAAACTCCTAGTTTTTAAGCATTGGCACAAATGAAAAACAAAAACAAAACAAACAATACTGTGTGAGCCAGACAGGGAGGTCTGGCCAGATGGAGTTCTGGCCTCTGGCTTATGACCTCGGGCTGGGCCAGATTAAGAAGGAGCACACAGGGCAGGGTCAGCAGTGGCCAACCTCCACCAGGTGCCCTGGCATGTCCTGTGCCCAGCGCTCAGATCCCCTGGAGGACATGGAAAAGAGAGAGAGGGCCAGGATGCCTGGTCAAGATGGAGTTAAGGGGGAGGAGGAGAAGCTTGGTGCTATCAGTTCTGAGGAAATCTGACAGTTAACTCCAGACCCATCAAAAGACTGCAAAGCTGGCAAACGATACTTTGGGTCTGTATTCAGGCCTCTGAGGACTGGATCCCTGCCTCTCTGTAGTCACATGGTCTTCACTTAACTTCTGTTGTCACACTTCTTGCTCTGGCCAAATTAAGTGACTCCCTGTCACCTGGATATACCCTGAGCTAAGCGGGAGCCTGGCTTCCACCTGCTCTCACCCAGCCTTTCTTCTCCTATTGTGTTTTATCCATGCGTGCCTTATCCTGGGGTCAGCAGGGGTGATGGCCTTTGTTCTATTCATTCTAGGCACCTCTCAGTCTTTGGAGTGGGAATTGCTGGGGAAGTGGTGGGTGAATACACAGATGAATATGGAAAGAGCCCCTCCGGGCCTGGGATTGCCTCTGCTAGCTCCATTTTGGTGACTTACACTTAGAATGCAGCCTCTTACATATTCTGTGCTAATAAATACCTGTAGAATAAATGAGCCAGTGCATCTGGGGGGTGAGAGGATGGGTGGGACAATACAATGCCAAACATACAACCAATGGGGAGACTGGGGGGATTCCCTCCCAATTCCTGGCCTGTCTCCCCTGCATTGCTGTTTTCAGACTTATGTCACCCTTCCCCATGACTGTCCCTTCCCTGGCCTTCAGTGCTCACTCTGCTCCTTTGGATGGAGCCCACTGTCTTGCTTCCCAGGGCCACAGGGATGTCTGTCCCCTGTTTATGAACCCTTTCTAAACTCAGAGATGAGGATCAGTGGTGCCTCTACAGCAAGTAGCAGCAACAGCGCGAGAGCGATGCACGCCTCACCTGTGGAATGGGATGCCTGGAAGCCCTTCCTCTGGACCGAGTTGTCTGAGTAGAAGCGCAGGAACATGCGGTTGCCTGTGGCCAGGACAGGCTCGGGCTTCTTGCTGCCACAGAAGCGGCCAAGGACCGGTGCCTTGGTGTCACGCCCATCGAACACCTCCAGGTGATCGTAAGCACACTCAGGCTGAGACTCGATGTCCATCTCCATGAAGGTCTGGAGGGACCAGGGAGGAGGACAGATCAGAGGTTACATCAAGGGGACCTGAGGTGGGGATGGGGTGCAAACCTAGTCTTGGTAGGCCCCAACTCATACACACCCATGAAAGTAGTCATTCCTGGGGCCATGATGGTGAGGGAGGGCCTGAGAATAGGCAATGGCAGATGTTTACTAGAAAAGGGGTCCTATGTCTAGGGGCCTTGTCCTCACAGGGGTCGTAGATCCACGGGCTCAGCTAGACCACCTGGTCTGGAGCCAGCATCTCTGACCCATGCAGGGCTTTGATGAGACAGAAGCAGCCCTCCCCGCCTCCCCCGGTATGGAGGAACAGGGTGCCCAAACAGCTTGGGCATTTTACCAGTTTGACCCGATGCCCAGGGGTGCTGGAGATAGCCCATGTGCACTCCTTCTTGCTGGGATATTTGTCAGGCCAGTTGGGGCTGGTGATGGTACCGCTGGTGGATGTCACCTTGTGGTCACAGCCAGCTGTGGGGGACATGAATGCTGGATGGGGACCAACAGGGACTCCATGCTTCAGTGAGGGCCTTTCCTTCCAGCCGTTTTCTTTTCTCTACCCCACTTCTACAATGGACTGAGGGCCAACATCATTTCTTCTTCCTTTCATCCTCTATGCCTGGGGAGAGCCTCGCTGATTGGTTCTTACAGAAGCCCTGGGTGAGGGTCCAGGCAGCAGCTGTGGGTAAGGCTCTTGCGCCTTTGTAGTCATGTGGCCACATCACTTCTGCCTAGAAACCTTCATACTGCCAATGTCTCCCTCCCCGACTCCCCCAGCAATAGAGCCTGAGAAACTGTGAATCCTGAAGCTGCCATCCACGGGGCTCCTTAGCTACAACCATAGGAGACTTCGCCACCTGACTCAGTCCTCCCCAGCCCTGCTCCTGCCGCGGTCTGACAGGCAGCTGGCCCACCCAGAGCAGCCTATGTCCCTTGACCTCAGCTCTGCTGTCCAGATCTCCCTTCCTCCTTTGCCTCACCCGCGTCGTGGCTACCTCCCATCTGTCCAGCATACTCAGGTGCCATCTTTCCACTTTCGAGAGACCTCTATGTTCTTTCTGGACCAGTATAAATGCTTCATAGGGGATTTGGTCCAGGACCACACCCGCTGCCCCCACCCCCAGCTTCCAAAACCCACACATGCTCAAATCTTTTATATGGAATGGCACAGTATTTGCACAGAAGCTACATCAACCTCCCTTGAAATTCAAATCATCTCTGGATTATTTATATGCAATCCTAATGGCCAATAAATAGCACTGTTTAGGGAAAACAACCAGGAGAAAAGTCTGGACATGCTCAGTAGAGAGGCAACCATCATAGGCCTAACTGTATTTTCAATCTGAGGTTGGCTAAATTCAGATATGGAGCCCACAGACCTGGAAGGCTGACATCTTCCTCCCATAGCCGATTTGGCTGACTACCACTGCAGCTGGACTACATGGCTGGTCACCATATTTCTCACTGACTGTTTCTTTGGCCTGCTTGCCCTTTATGCTCTCCTTCCACTTAGAAATCCATCTGTGGGACAGGTACAGTGGTGCATGCCTATAATCCCGGCTACTTGAGAGACAGAAATCAGAAGGACAGCAATTCAAGGTCAGCCAGAGAAAAAAACTTGAAACACCCCCCATTTCAACCAACAAGGTGGTGTTTGCCTGTCACCCAAGCTCCTCATAAGATATAAGCAGGAGGATCACAGTCTAATGCCAGCCCCAGACAAAAACTTGAAAGTCTATCCTAAAAATAAGTAAAGCCAAGAAGGAGTAAGGGTATGGCTCAAGCTATAGAAGAGCTGCCTAACAACAGCGAAGTCCTAAGTTCAAACTCCAATATAAGAAAGAGAGAAAGAGAGAGAAAGAAAGAAAGAGAGAGAGAGAGAGGAAGGAAGGAAGGAAGGAAGGAAGGAAGGAAGGAAGGAAGGAAGGAAGGAAGGAAGGAAGGAAGGAAGGAAGGAAGGAAACATTTGTGATGTTAAACTTGCTGGGACCACCAACCACTAATTTGCTTTTTACAAGGTCCATGTCGTAGCTTCTTAGCAACTGTCCAAACTGTCAGCCCTCTCCTTAAACTCTAGTCTCAACTATATGCCTGTAGTCCTAGCTATCTGAAAGTAACTAGGAGGATCACAGCTCAAGGCCAAGTCAGGCAAAGAGTTAGTAAGACTCAGTCTCAACCAATAAGCTGGGAGTCATGGTGTATGGTTGTTGGCCCAGCTACATAGAAATCAGAAATAGGAGAATTGTAGTCAAAAACTGGCCCAAGCAAAAGTACAAGACCACATTTCAAAAACAAACAACAAACCTAAAGGAAAAGGGTTTGGGGTGTTGTTCAAGTGGTAGAATGGCTGCCTAGTAAGCAAAAGGCCCTGAGCTCAATCGCCAGTACTGTAAAAGAGAAACAGAAAGAGTAAAACTGAGGGTTGTTGTTGTGTTGTGTGTGTGTGTGTGTGTGTGTGTGTGTGCGTGTGCGCACATGCCAATAGTGGGGCTTGAACCTGGCCTGGGCACTGTCCCTTAGCTTTTTCACTCAAGACTGATGCTCTACGACTTAAGCCATAGCTCTATTTCTGGCTTTTTGCTGGTTCATTGAAGATAAAAAAAAAAAAAAAGTCCCAGGGACTTTCCTGCCCAGGCTAGCTTCAAACCAGGATCCTCAGATCTCAAGTCTCCTGAGTAGGATTACAGAATTCCAGGCATGAGTCACTGGCCCTGGGCACTGGGCAGAGGTTCTGACAAGCACTAACCACCAACAGAGCCTAGAGAGAGCCTCAGGGCAGCTGTGAGCTCCTCTCTTTCGTGGACAAGTGGGGACCACCAGCGTGTGTGGCCTGGACACTGCTTGAAGAGGAAGGGACCCTGCTCACCAGGTGGGAGATGACATGAATGACCTCGGAGGTCACTCACTCATGGGTAAATGGAGGCCAACAGAGATGGCACTGCCGACCTTCCATTCCCCAGCACCAAGCTCTCCACATGTGGATGCCCAGGCAGGGCGTGGGGAAGTCCTGGCGATCCCCCCCCCCAAGCCCCAGCCTCCAGGTAGCCCTTACCTTCCTTGCAGTCATGTTTGTTGTCATGGAGGACGAAGCCGCTGCGACACTGGCACTCATAGCTGCCAAATGTGTTGACGCAGTCTTGCTGGCAGCCCCCGTTGTCCTTGGAGCACTCGTCCTTATCTAAGGAAGCAAACAAGGGTGGTGGGTCCGTGAGGGCTGGAGCCTGATCAAGGGAGGTCTGGCCGAGGTCTGTGGGGGGAAGAAGATGGCCCAGTGGGGCATCCTCCCGCTGGGAGGGACGGCGCAAGGCCCGCACCAGCCAACAGGACTTGTGGAAGTGGAGGTCAGGGCCGTGGCCGGGGTGGGGGAGGGGGGGAGGGAGGGCAGGCGGGCGCTGCTGTGGGGAGAGGAGGCAGGAATGATGGAAGGGGATTTGAAGGACCAGAACTGGCCAGCCTAGGGGACTTCTACCATTACCTGCTTACTGGACAGATGGACAAGTGGAAAAACAGACACACGGACAAGCAGACTGCAAGAGAAAGGAGCAGGACGCAGGGGTCCCTCTTTTACTTCACAACAGGAAATGTCACAGACACCATCAAAACGGGAAGGGGGAAGGGAAGGGTCCCCTGTCATCTGAGGTAGACAGGGGGAGAGGAGAGCACCAGTTCTGTCCAGCCAGAGGAGGCGGCCGGAATGGCAGAGAGGAGGCAGGGGTGGGTGGGCTCCGAAGCCCCCAGCCCACTCGGTCCGAGGTGAGCTTCCTGAGTAACGAAGGGTCTGGAGGCCTGCAGGCCTCACTGGGGGGTCCGGTTTCTTTTCTGCACACGGAATTTGACCTGGTGGGGACGTCCCCGAGGGGGCTGCAGAGTTGGCCTCTTTTCTGAAACGAGAGAGAGAGAAGGAGAAAAGGGACCCAGGGGTGGGGTGGGGGGGTGGAAGGCAGGGAGGGACCAGGGAAGGACAGCCATGAAAATCAGACCCAGGGCCTTGGGTCAGGCGGGCAGGGTGGGGGAGTGGGAAGGCAGCGGACACACACATGCAGGATGGCCATGTCCACGCAGCCAGGTCATGGAGGGCTGGGTTAGCAGGGGGAGGAGGCACAGCCACAGGGGTGAGACAGGGCTGTGGCCAGGGAAGGGCTGCAGGGTCGGCTCGCTTTGAGGGGTGCACACTGGGAAGGAAGAGAGACCAGGAGCTGTCAGCTGAAGGGCGCCATGTGTGAAGAGGGCCTCTCATCCTGGTGGCTGCACGTGGAGGGTTAGATCTGGACACACAACTCACACATACACAGCCAGACACTGGCTCCCAGGAGGCCCCAAGCCTGATGTACTGCTGTCTAAACATGGTGATCTGTGTCCATACCACACAAACATACAATATACCACGTGGGTGCAGATGAAAACCCACGGAGGCCACACACAAATCTATGTTGCCATACATGTGGGAGACATGTACAGGTAGAAACACACAAGCAGGCACTCACAAGACACCTGGGAACTCAGACAGGGATACAGATACACGTATGTGCACAGCTCAGGCTCACAGGCAGCCCACTCATACCCAGAGTACCTTACACACACACACACGTGCACTGATACAGATGCATATGGTCACAGGTGTATGTAGAGCACAGCCACACAGTCTCAGGTCTATCTGTGATGTGATTATTTGGGGGACAGTGTGCTTGGCTTAGAGGCAGACTTTCAGAGAGGGTGGACACCCAAGATTTGGGGTGCTAGTTAGCATTCAGTGGGTCAGGTGGGTCTGTGACAAGGGGCTCTGTTCCTGGCATCCTCAGGAGAGGAGCCCGAGGGTGGAGAATCAGCCCCCAGAAGGGCCAGCTTTTCCTGCCCAGGCCCAGGTGGTCCATGGGAAGACAAGGAATCAGTGGAATGCCCATGTCTCTTTCCAAAAGCTCCTGCGGAAGGGCTCTGGGAGGCTGCCTTTGCACTAGCTTGCGGCACGTGGAGGTTAGGGGGCCCTACAACCCGTGCAGAGGTTCCCTGAGGACATCACTGGGGTCTCTGCTCAGAGCTGTCTGCCTTCCTCATATTTGTACCCCACACACAGGGAACACATAGGGCTAAGCTAAATGCTCACCAGATGAATGAGTGGATGGATAAGGGAATGGTTGAAGGAATGAGTGAGCGTCAGGCCTGAGGGCAGCTGCCCTGGCATCCGGGCGGGGGCTCTGGCAGCTGTGGAAGTGGGCCACCCTTTGATACCAGTGAAACGCACTGCAGAAGGAGCAGGGGCAGGGGAGGGGGTGCGGGCCCCCCAAATGAGATGGCACTCACCCTACAGTGCCCAAATGCCCTGGAGGTGCTGGGGTCAGACTGAAGGTCTTCAGGCTCTTGCTTCTTCTTGGCTTAGGGTCTCTTCGATGGGTGTCCCAAAAGTCCACATAGCCCCCCACTTGGGGGTCCAGAGTCAGATGCCCCAGGCCCTGAGGCTGCACCTTGATGCCCATCGGTGCGGGTCCTCTGCAGGTTTCTTTTGCAATGGAGCAGAGTGTGTGTGTGTGTGTGTGTGTGTGTGTGTGTGTGTGTGTGTGTGTGCGCGTGCGTGTGTCTTGTGCAGGGTTGAGTAGAAAGGGCAGAGTCATACGGGAGTCGGAGGGGGGAGACAAGGCAGTAACTCCAGACAGATGTGAGTGTTGCCCCATCCCCTCTAAGACTGGAGTAACAGAAAGGCAGAAGAGACGAGAGTAAGCAGGTAATGGTTGCCCTGGGGGAGCACCCGCCTGAGCAGGTGTCTCCTCCCCTCACCCCAGCCCTCCAGGGAGCACCTGCCAGGATTTCTAGGTGGGCCAGGGAAGGAAGGGATTGTGTTATAGGGGAGGATCTCAGCAAGCAGTGGCCAGAGCCTGGGGGTGGGCAGAAGCTCAATTGAGCACTTGAAGCAGAGCAGGGGCTGGCATTGCCAAGCAAGGAACTAGTACAGAGGGGCAGGTGCATGGCACCAGGGTGGGCAGGCAGGGGTGGGTGCAGGAGCCTGCTCAAGCGGGGGAGAAGGGAGGTGGTATGAATGCGGCCGTGGGCTTCCTGCTTCCTGCCTGCTTACGCCTGCCCCCCCCCAGGAGTGGTCAGGATGGGTCCCTGGGCCATTCCACCACAAAGCACCTGCTTCCACCAGCCCACCAGCTTCCTGCTCTCTCCATGCTCCACTGCAGGAGCTCTTGCCCTTCCTTGCCTGGGTCTGGGCCCTTTTGCCTCTGGAGGCCTCCAGTTGCCTCAGAGCCTAGGTAAGCCAAAGACCTCCAGATTCCTACAGCAGGGGAAAGATCTCCTGGGACCCCAGAGGTCTGGCTCCAACAGGCTAGAAAGTGGGGCTTGGATGATCAATTAGACCACCCGGACAGGGGCCTTAAAGGGCCAGATGAGGCCAAAAGACTACAGCCCAAGTGTCACGTGGGGCGGGTCTCAGTTGATATAAGCCAAAAGGATTCAAATCCTACACCCAATGGGAGGCTGGTATAGGAGGGGAGGCGACGTCTCCTTTCAGAAGGCCCGGTATGAACCCATTTGGCTTGTACAGGGTCTGATTAGAAGTCCGGTTACTGCCAGATAATCTGTCTTACACAGTCCAAGGCAAACACCCTCTTCTTCTCCATCCACCCCTTGTTCTCAGCCAAACTGAACTCGCTGTTCCAGGGCTTGCCCTCTCTAGGGCCTTGGCGTGCAGGCTCCTGGTACCCGGAACACACTCTGCCTTCACTGCGGATGCGTACGTTCTACCCTTCCCCACGCTCAGACCCACTGGGGCCCACGGGACTCAGAAAATGGGATCTGGATAGCCAGGGGCTGGCCTGCTGGTGGAGACAGCAGTGGACAGGGCAGGCACCATGAGAGCTGGGGAATACAGGGAGGGGCAGGGGGTGTGGGAAGAGAGGAGTCCCATCCTCTGAGGGAGGCAGGGAGCTGGGAAGTCTGGGGTTACCTGAGAAGAAGTGGGCCTTGAAGCCCTTTTTGGATACGGTGTTGTCGGATTTGAACTCCACACGCATGTTGTTGTACTGGGAGGTGATGACCTCTGGCTTCTCGGAGCCACAAAACTTGCCATGCAGCTTGGAATCCGCTGTGAGTCCACTGCGCACCTCCACGAAGTCGTACTTGCATACCTGCAGAAGAGGCCAGCCCTGGCTGCCTCCTCCAAGAAGCCTCTCCCGACTACACCCACCCCCTGAAACTTCTAGTCTGAAGATCCTTTAGCCATCAGTTAGCTGCTGCTCTTCCTCTTCTCTCCCTCCTTCCACCATCAGATATTCCGGGACAAACACAAGGCCTCAAGCCCTTCCTCACTCCCCAGGCAGTTGACTCAGGGTCTGACGCTCTTCAAGGCTCTCCCAGACCTTCTAAGCCTCTCTGCATTGGGAGCAGTCAAGTCTCCTTCTCCGTGTGCTCAGAGCCTTTCTGCCTGAGCCTTTTCCAGATGTTAGAAGGCAGTTACTGAGCCAAGCCCTGGCACCCCACACCGTCCAGCCCAGCTTAGTCTCCAGGGGTACTTACATCATTGCCCTCTGTCTCGAAGAAGTCGAACTGCAGGGAGATGCGGTACTGGGTGGGTGCCACCAATTGCCAGATGCAGTTTTTGTTAGGAGGGTATTCCTTGGGCCAGCCCGGGCTGGTGATGGAGCCATTGAGCTTGGTGAGGAACCCACCGCAGGCAGCTGGGGGAAGGGGGGACGGGCAACAAAGGAAGTAACATCATCTGCCAGGAGTTGGTGTTTTACAGAGGGGCCTGAGGCCTGAGGCAGACGCAGTCAGGAGGCATGGGTCTGTGGGTCCTATAGCCCAGAGGCTTTGGACACATAGAAGGAGGTGAGGTGGGAGGAGGTGAGCCTCGAGGAGGGAGGAAAGGAGCAGAAGAGCGGCACGTGTGGCTTTTTTTTTTTTTGTCAGATGTGGGGCTTGAACTTTGGGCCTGGGTGCTGTCCCTGAGCTCTTCAGCTGAAGGCTAGCGCTCTACCACTTGAGCCACAGTGTACTTCCAGTTTTCTGGTGGTTTACTGGAGATAAGAGTCTCAAGGACTTTCCAGCTCGGGGCTGGCTTTGAACAGTGATCCTCAGATCTCAGCCTCCTGCGGAGCTAGGATTACAGGCGTGAGCCACCGGTGCCCGGCATGTGTGGCTATTTCTACATCAGTGCTAGAGAATAGACAGACTAGGGAACTGCCGAGGAGAGGAGGGCAGGGAGGGATTCTGGGAAAGCGGAGTGGCTGAGTAATCCAGGGAGGTGCACAGAGGGGCTGCTCATGGACCAGACAAGATCAACTCATGCTGGAGCTATTAGCTAGAATGCTGTAACCAGAACCTGAGGAATATGAATGGAGAGAGGCTGAGACTCAGTGTCCATCCAGGAACACTGTAGATGGTGACCCTCTGGAGGGCGGTGACATCAATTACCAACTCAAGAGAGACATGAACAGAAGCGTGAAACTAGAGCTAGGCACCAGTGGCTCATGCCTGTAATCCTGGCTACTCAGGAGGCTAAGATCTAAGGATCAAGGTTTGGAGTCAGCCTGGGCAGGAAAGTCCATGAGACTGAACTCCTATTAGCAACCAAAGGAAAAACAAAAGCGGCAAGTGGAGCTCAAGTAGTAGAGCATCAACCTTGTGTGAAGAAGCTAAGGGACAGCACTCAGGCCCTCAGTTCAAGCACTAGGAAATCCCTCAGCTTGTTCAAGAAGCTGGCAGTCCAAGGGCACAGGGAAGGGGTCCCAAGGGTCTGGGACACTTACCCTCACAGCGGCGCTTGTCTGGGGCCAGCTCGTACCCAGGGTCACAACTGCACTTGTAGCTGCCCAAGGTGTTCAGGCACCGCTGCTCACAGCCCCCGCGGTTGGGCCGAGAGCACTCATCCACCTCTGCCGGGAAGGAAAAGGGGTCAGGCTAGGCCAGGCTCTTCCTTCTGCCCTCTCCTCAGGGGTCAAGCCCAGGGGCGACTGCCCAAACCTATTCCAGGGCCGAGTCAGCTGAAAGTCACATTTGTCTGCTCTAGTCAAAGTAATCTGACCCACAATGGCTGCTTAAAACCCTGAAAGGAGATCTCACAGGGTCTTCCTTCTAAGCACACAGGCTGGCTGGCAGCTACCCCCACTTCCTGCTGCTTCTTAAAAAACAGTTATCTATTTGTCTTGTCTCAGTACTGAGTATTGACCCTTGGGTTTTTGCTCAAGGCTAGCACTCTACCACTTCTACTTCTGGCCTTTTGGTGGTTAATTGGAAAAAAAAAAGAAGCCCTTGGAAGCCGGCCTTGAAACAAAAACCCCAAAACCCAACCCCCCAAAAAACCAAGAATAAAAGGGGGAACAAACGGCAACCGGCCTTCCCGGGGCCCCGTGTGCTAATCCCTGTTGCTGAAGCACTATCCTCTCATTTCTCTTCAGTCTCTCCATGAAGCCTGCACTGGGGACAGCTACTGTGCCCACTGCACACACCAGAAACTGAGGCTTGGGGTGGGGGTGGGGAACACCTGATCCAGGCCATACTGATTAAAAACGTCACACGCCCTTGCTTCTTCCCTGATCATCGCTGGCCTCTGCTCCTCATGGGGTTGCCCTTTTCTCCCCACATTGCCCTCAGCTCCTGCAGAGCAGGGTCCTGATATCTTTCCTGGTATTTGCACCTGTCATGGGGTCTCCAGGTTGAATGAGTGACTGACGAAGGAATGAAGGAGATAGGCTGGCCACAGAAGGGGATGGGGATGAAGAGGAGGCACCTTTGAAAAAGTTGACTGCAAAGCCAGCTTTGTTAATGGATCCATCAGAGACGAACTTGAGCCAGAGGCGGCTCGATGTACTTTTGATGTCATCGGGCTTCTCATAGCCACAGTAGCGGCCGATGAGGTTGCTGCTCTCACTGTGTCCGTCTCGGACTTCCAGGTAGTCGTAGGCACAGCTGTCATGGCGCTCGATCTAGGGGTCAGAGGCTCTATCAGTGGAGGAGTTCTGGCCACCAAGGCCCCAGTTCTCTGGAGCCTGCAGAAAGGGGAGGGGGCGGGGGCTGTCCCAGAGAACACCCAGGGGCATTTAAGAGTCAGATCACAGCGTCTCTGACTACCTCAAAGGACTGGAACGTGAGGCCCACGTGGAAGCCCTCAGACACCTGGATCCGCCAGATACAGACTTTGCTGGGCCGGTAGTCGTCTGGGTAATTGGGTGACTGGATATGGCCGTTATCCTTTTTCACGTCACCCCCACAGATGGCTTTGGGGGCATAGGGTGAGGTGGGAAAGGTGGTCGGTCAGCAAGTTCTGCCCTGCCTGGGTGCCCCCTGTCCACTCCAGTCCTTCCCACATTCCTCCACTCCCTAGCACCCACCCGAAAATCCCATCCATCCCTCTGCTTCTTTCCTGGAGGACCCACAGCTGTGCCCCTCCAAGGCCAGCTCTGAGTGGTGCTAGGATGCTCAGGGACCCCTCCCCCTCCTCAGTACCTTCATAGACAGCAAAGAAACCTTTTCCAACCCAATTGCTGCTGCTGCGGAATTCAACCCAGAGGCGGCTGTCGGTGGAGACGATGGGCTCAGGGAGTTTACCCCCACAGAATCGGCCTGCAGACATTGTGAACAGAAGAGCCCTGAGCTTCCATGACATCCTCAGAAGCCCTTGCTTTCTAGGGGTCCAGGGCTCTGGTTTGCAGCTGCCCTGTATCCCTACACTACACAGCGGCCAGTTGGCTTCCAGCTTTGTTTTGAAGAGTCGGAGAGACCGCTTGGGGGATAGGACACACTTTTGTTCATGAAAGGAAAGGTGGATCCTCAGAACATCTGAGGATGTTTACCTTTTTAAAGAGCATATTTCCAGCCTGGACATGAAAATGCATACCTATAATCCTAGCACTTAGGAGGCTGATATAGGAGGATCATGACTTTGAGGATAACCTGAGCCTCAAAAAGCATATTGCCATCATTACTGACCTTTCTCCTTATTTGGTACCCATGCTAAGAAATAGCCATAAAGAAACAGCTTTTCCTGCATGTTAAAACAGGCTATCACTGGGTCACCTTTATTGATCCAAAATCAGGGCAAGTCCTGGGACACCACATAAACCCCAGGATCGCAGAACTGGGTTAGAAATAAAGTCAACCTAAGGGGTGAGGCTGGCCATCTGGGGAATTCTTTGCAGTCAAAAATTGACCGTGGATGATTTGTGTGTTCCTAGTAAGATTGTGTATTTCTCAACTTCTGGGAGGGACAGAGGATACTGGCCTAAGAATGTTAGTTATGGGGGGGAGGAGAGGGACTCCAAAGAGACCTAACACGGCTGCAGAGGAAGTGTTGTAATGATACTGCTGTGGGTGACTAATGAGCACTCTTTGGGAATGAGAAACTAGGGGAGAAAGAGAGAGGGTGTGAGAGTGGTGTCAGGCCACTTCCCGCCCAGCCAGGCTTCCTGCTGAGGCCGAGGGCCAGTCCTGAGCCTCTTAGGACTATGTCCAGATGGGAGACGGAATCACACGGCTCCTCAGGCTTCACGCAGATGGCCTGTGGCAATGTCAGACTCACTCTGCTCTAATTCTATGTTGGATAAAGTGCCTTCTGTGTCACATGGTAGGTTTTTGCACACATTGCAAGAGACAAAGTATCCTGTGCAAACAAGCTCAGGCATCGCTTTATACATGACCTTCGAAGTGAGTTAACAGCCTACCCGATGGATTAATAAAAAATCACTTAGACCCAGACTGTACAGTGGATGCCCTAAAGCTGAACTTGCAGATGGAGAAAACAGTCTCTGGACTGGGCCAGTGAGGGGGGAGAGCCTAGAGCAATGGGATGTGCAGAATGGCCTGCACACTGTCAGCTCTTACGACTCCATCACCTGCAGAGTGACAACCTGCTCTGAGAGAGGCCCAGAAGCCAGCACTGAGGACCCTGATGTCAGGGGTGAGACTTGCACAAAGGCATGCTGCTAGTGTTGGAACTAGCCCAAACTAACTCCACCAGGACTCCTGGGCCCCACAGCTGTATGTCCCACAGAATATCCCCTGGATGAAGAGCATGACACAAGCTATTCTAAAAGGAGGCAGGAGACCGGTGTCCCTTACCTCGGAGGGGCGCCTTCCGCCAGAAGCCATCACGCACCTCCACATAGTCATACCAACACAGGCGGCTGCGGTACAGGTCCATGGACGTGAAGTTCAGAATGATCTGGGAAAAGCCAGAGGAGGAAGAAGGTTACTGGGCTCCCCAGTCTATGCCTACGACAGCCCTTCCCTGGCCAGCACCAGCCACGTGACCACTGCCAGCCTTACTCCAGGCAGGTCGCCATGGGGGTGAGGGCTAACTATTCTCTACCTCAGTCAGCACTGTTCCCAAGACGGCCCCTGCTAAGAATGCATTGCTCTACCATTGTTCCCACCACAACATATACAGAAGACAAGAGCCAATGTAAACCACAGTGTTGTGTGTGTGTGTGTGTGTGTGTGTTCTTAGGCCTGGGTGCTGTCCCTTGGCCTTTTCACTCAAGGCTAGTGCTCTACTATTTGAGCCTCTGCTTCACTTCTGGCTATTTTGCTGGTTCACTGGAGGTAAGAGTCTCACTAACTTGCATGCCCCAGGATTGGTGTCAAACTGTGATCCTCAGATTTCAGCCTCCTGAGAGGCTAGGATTATAGACAAGTGTTGAGAATGAGGGGGGGTAAGACATATATGAAAGATGACGTAGTTAAAACACTTAAGCCCTGCATTTTTATGCTGAGACCGGAGCAACCTCAGCCAGTTTGTGTACAAGATTGGGGGAAGAGCCTTGGACCTTAACACAGGGCTCCCTGAAGACTGTACTGGTTGCAAGGCTGGCTCAGTGACTACCTCAGTGAGTACCACGGCTTTGCAGCCAGGGGGCGCCCTGTGCAGGTGCCAGGGACCTGAGTGAACCCCAGACTGCTGTTCCTACCAGCAGGGGCTTTAGGTAAATAGTGGCTTTGAGCTGTGAGGTATGGGTGCTTCCATTCTGAGCCCGGGGGCTTTCCAGCTGGGACAGGCCAGAGCTCATGGACAGCTAAACCTCCTAGCTATGCCTCCCAAATAGATGTGGTTACTGAAGCATATCACCAGGTAACTTGTTGTCTAGGCTGGCCTTGAGCTGTGATTCTCCTTGTTTCCAGAGCAGCCAGCTGTGATTACAAATGTATGCACCTGGCCTGTAACAATTCTCACTGAGGCCTTCAGTGCACTTAGCTACAACACCCCTTCTGCCACTTCCTTCGCTCCTTACCTAGCTTAGTTTATAGCCCCTCCCTTTTCTTTTCTTTCCTAGATATGTACGTTTAAATATATTTACATTTAGAAACATCTTAATAATTGTGGTACTCTACAATATCACTGAATGAGATCACATTTTTGAAAAATCCTATATTGATCTTTTTATTAACCATAATCACGGAAAGTTATTATTTCTAGCATTTTCTCTTTTTCTCTCTCCTTCCTCCCTCCCTCCCACCCTCTGCTTCCTTCCGGAGATTGAATTCAGAGTCTCCCCTTGAACCATGCCTGCAGTACTTTTGCTTTTTTACATTGTTTCTTATGCTAAGGTCTCATATTTTTACCACGTATGGCCTTGGACCTGATCCTCCTGCCTCTGCCTCCTCTTTTGCTCTTGACCTTGTCCCCAGTCATAGCAACCAAAGCAGAGCTTTTATGTTGCAAAGCTGATCACATCTCTTCTCGGTTCCAAATCCTTTAATAAGTGTAAATCAGAGTAAAATCCAAAGTCCTCAACACGAAGGACCATTTCTCATCTGGTCCCATAATGTGATGATCTCTGGCCCCATCTTCTACCACTCTCCTCCTAGCCTACTTGACTCCAGCCACATTGGCCTTGCCCTTCCTCAAACACTAAACCTCCCTCAGAGCCCTTGTACTTGGTGCCTGGAAGATCTTCCCAGCTACCAGTGATGTATAACTTTCCATCCTGCTGGCTTCTGTTCTAATTAGATGACATGAAAGAGGCCCTCCCAACTATCCCATGTGACCCAGGAATCCCTTTCCCCTTCCAACCCTTTCTTTAAAACTTACCACTATCTGACTTACTTTGCCGCTTATTAACTGTAGCCTCTGAAATGCAATCCTAGACAGGCAAGAATTTCATTTGTTTAACTTATGACGGACTCTTTAGCACATGGCACATAATTGGTACACAATAACCGTTTCTCGAGTGGAATTCTCGAGTGAGTAATTGACCTTATACATAGGTTTCCTAAGTGTTTAAAGACTGGAGTGGAAAGATGGTTTAGAACATAAGTTAAAAAAAAACTTTGAAAAAGCTTAAATCAGCCACCTATTGATAAAGACTTGCATGGATGACTGAAAAATTAAAGGGAGAGAAAGCAAGAGGCTAGATACTAAGCATCCATGAAAATGAACATGGTAACTAGATGAAAGCTGACCTGGAAAGATGATAAGCTGTAGAAAACCACAGGTGTGTACGTAAAGTCCTTTTGGTTTTGTGTGTGTGTGTGAGAGAGAGACTACATATGTATATGCACACACATGCACACAAGTCTAGAAGGGTACAATTGTGTTCTGAACATCTAGTCATTTTTGATGTGTGGGATGTGGAGGAAGATGCGAGGGCTGGAACTCAGGACGCAGGGCCTCACATTTGCATGGCTTGCTTGCTCAGGTAATGCTCTATCATTTGAGCCACACCTCCAGCTGGCTTTATGCTGGTTACTTTGGACATGGAGTGTTACGGATTTTTGTACCTATGCTGGCTTCGAACCTCCATCCTCCAGCTCTCCGTTTCCCTAACTAGATAGATTACAAGGCATAAGACACCAGTGCCTAGCTAGAGGAAGATTTTTTTTTACTTATGCATTTTTAGACTTCAAATTTTTTATGACATGCACATGTTATTTTTATACCTAAGAAATGACAAAAAAATCTTTTAAAGAGATGCTGGATAAAAGAAGGAATGCAGATGGTTGAACAAGTGTCCATTTTCCCTCCTCCTCCCAGAAGCAAATCTGACTGTTTTGGGAGGGGGGATGTGGGATGGGTTCCAGAGTCCATGCCCATTGGGCAGAACTCCAGCAGGCCCACCCAAGGGGTGGGAGGAAGCAGGGTCACCTCCTGCAGGAAGAAGAGACCCGAACTGGTGGTTAGTAGCATCCCACAGGGAGGCACAGCTGAGGCTATATTGAGACTGGAGGTGTCTAATTAAGAGTTGTACCAACTCCTGTCATGTGGACACAGCTGTGCCCTAGTGGCAGGGGCATTGCCTTCTGCCAAAGAAAACCTGTCCAGTTCCACCACTTCCTGGCTGGGGATGCTGGGCTGTGGATCAGCTTCCTGGATCCTCAGGGTCTTTGTCTAACAAATGGAGGTAGTCACGGGCTCCAGTGAGAACTTGAGATTAAATGAGATACAGTGCAGTATCTCCCAGCATACTCTCAATGGGAGAAGGTCGCCTACACTTGGAGGATGCTTTCTGGGAAGAACTGATAGAATGAACCTCCCCTTAGCTCCAAGCAGGAGCCATGCTTGCTATTACCCACTACAATCCTCAGCCACTGACTGGCTTCAATGCAGCCTCACTGCTGGATCTTAGCCTTGACATTGGATTCCTCCCTGCCTACTTTTATTTCTAAGAGGGTGACGATGATTAGATGACGATGATTAGATAATGCTTCTTGGGAGCATAGGGAATCCACTCAAAGAAAGCTTACAAAGGGGTCTGGCATAGGTTAAGCAAGCAATCTATAACTGTGGATGCTGGGGGCGAATACCTGTAACCCTAGCTACTCAGGAGGCTGAGCTCTGATGATCGTGGTTCAAACCCAGCCTAGGCAGGAAAGATCATGAGACTCTTATCTTCAATTAACCACCAAAAAACCAGAAGTGGAGCTGTGGATCAAGTGGTAGGGTGTCAGCCTTGAGAAAAAAAGCTAAGGGAGTAAAGCCTGAAACTGAGTTCAAGCTCCAGTACCAGAAAAAAAAAAAGTATAGATTTTACTTTTAAAGTTGAGTTTGTTTAAGACATTTAAAATGGCTCATGCTGGACCCTGGAAGTAGAAGCCAGTAGTAGGCTTCTAGGATGCTGACCAGGATTTACTCAATAATTTATGAATCAACTTAATAATTTATTCTATTAGAAATAGAAAAGACAATGGTAAGCCAGGCACAGTGCCTCATGTCTGTAATCCTAGCTACTTGGGAGGCAGAAATCAGGAGAATGTGGTCTCAGGCCCAGGTAAAAAGATCAGGAGCTGCCTTCTCAACAGAAAAAAACAAAAAGCTGGTGTTGAATGGCCATTGTCCTAGCTATGGCAGGAAGAGTAAAATAGAAAGGTCACAATTCAGAAGAAAAAGAAAAAGCCATCAGCAGCTGGCATTGGCTGAACTGTTACTGTGAACTACTCTAAACACTGTAACTAGCTGGATTTGTTTAATCTCTGACAAACCCCATGAAGGAGACATCATCATCAGGCCTCTTTTACAAGGGAGAAACAAAGGCACAGAGAGGCTAGGCAACTTCCCCAAATCTTACAGCCAGGAGCCACAGACAGACCCAGACACTCTGGCTCCCAAATCTGCTCCTTAACTATGTTTCCACAAGTTTCTGGTCAATTCTTCCCAGCAGCTGAGCTGAGAACAGTATCTACTTTCTCTTTGTCCTCAGAGCCCCAAGCCTTCCAGCACTGGAGAAGCAGGACTAAGGGAGGGTCTAACATGGGTATCCAGAGAGATGACTTCTGCCTGCTTGGGGGGATGGGAGGCTGCTCTGGGACAGTGTGGTGGGGGAGGGGATCTTGAAGCTCAGATGGCATTTGCCAAGGCAGAGGGATAGGATTGAGGGTGGATGCTTGACAGCTCCAAGACATTAGCAGTTCTTATCTTCCTGGCTCCTTTGCACAGTTGGCCTGCTTGCCATTGGATCCTTCTTAAAACAGTCTCCTCCTATGAAGTCTGCTTTGTTGCCTGGGAACCAAGGTAAATCCTTGAGTCAGCTGCTAATTATGCAAGTTGGGACACTCAGGGGGGGCTCTTTCTTGTGGTTGACATATCCATGACGTGTGGATTGTATAAGATTTATTTTATACATTCACACCGCTGGCAGTAAGCTGAGCACTGGGAAACAAGTGAAAAACAACTCCTGGGAGCTGAAATTGATGTCAAAGTCCATCTGCCACAGCAGGTGGCGTTATTTAAGGTGTACTGTCGAAAGATCAGACTTTGGCCAATCTAGAACCAAACACTGGTTTCACCAGCAAATCTGGGCAGATTTGCACTTAAAGCTATGAGCCTCCATACTCTTGTGTTCACAGCAGGGGTAACAGTACCTAGCTCTCAATACTGTAAGGAAACTGGGCATCAGCGGCTCACACCTGCAATCCTAGCTACTTAGGGGGCTGAGATCTGAGGATCATGGTTCAAAGCTAGCCCAGGCAGGAAAATCCAAGACTCTTATCTCCAATTAACTACCCAAAAGCCAGAAATAGAGCTGTGCCTCACATGGTAGTGTGCTAGCCTTGAACACAACAGCTCAGGGATGGTGCCTAAGCCCTAAGTTTAAGCCCTAGGACCTGTACCAAAAAAAAGAAAGAAAGAAAGAAAAGAAAAGAAAAAAGAAATTGATGTAGGGAACAATAAGTGTAAGATATTTCCACTAACATGCTTGTTACAATAACAAAGTCAGGGCACAGACAGTTCAAACCAGCAAAAACTGCCTAATTGTTTGCCAGTGCTGACATTTGAATTTAGAGTCTTATGCTTGTTAGATGAGTGTGATACAATCTGAGCACATATACTTCACCTTCTTTCTTTCTTTCTTTCTTTTTTGGTTCGTCATGGGGCTTGAATTCTGGGTCTGAGCGCTGTCCCTGAGCTCTTCAGCTCAGGCAAGCACTCTACCACTTAAGCCACAGAACCACATTCAGTTTTCTGGTGATTAATTGGAGATAAGAGTCTCATGGACTTTGCTGCCTGGGCTGGCTTTGAACTGTGATCCTCAGATCTCAATCTCCTGAGTAGCTAGCATTACAGGCGTGAGCCACTAGCGCCCAGCACCTTTCTTCTTTTTCTTTAGCTATGTTTCAGATAGAATCTCATGTTGTCTGGGGCTGGCCTCAGACCTTAATCATACTACCTATACAGACATAAGAAATGCCTATCACCACACACCTAGCTTGTAACTTGAGATGTAGACTTTACTAACTTTTTGTCTGGTCTGGCCTTGAGCTGCAATCCTCCTGATCTACACCAACCAGACAAAGACTGTAACTGGGGTTGGGGGGGCAGTGCCAGAGTTTGGGGCCTTGCTCTTGCGAGGCAAACAGTCTACCACTAGACCATACCTCCAAGCCCCATTTTTTTTGCACTATTTTTGAGATAGGGTCTTGATTGCTGCCTGAACTGAATCATCCTATTTTAGGCTTTCTGTCATAGCTGGAATGACAAGTATACACCACCATGTCTGGTTTCTTCTGACTTTTCCACTTGGGCTGGCCTGGAACTGAGATCCTCCTGATTAAAACCTATAATACTCAGATCCTCTTATTTCTGCCTCCTGAGTAGCTAGAATTCCAGGAGGAGCCACCAACGCCTGGCTAGGATTGCAATTTTTAAGTGAGATTTGCAACAAAAACAAAGTAATCATTTTATGACACCAACTTCTCAGGGCTCCTGAGTTCCACAGGCTCCCCACCTCGCTCCCCCCTTCTTGTAAGACAGAATCTCTCTACGTAGCCCTCAAACTCACAATTCCTCCTGCCTCACTTTCCTAAGTGCTAGAAGTACAAGCTTTCCATAGGCCCTATCAAGCTCATCATCCCCAGCTGCCATCTTGGGTTCACTTACAAATGGACCAGATTTTATTGTGATATATTTCTATAGCCACGTATTGATCCATGCAGTTTTTATCCTGAGCTACTCCTGCACTGGAGCTCCAGCCAGGCTTCTGAAAAGGATAGAGTCTTTGGGGAATTGTGGAGGAACTGGTTCATAGCACCGAAAGGCTCCTGAAGCAGAGCCCTGTGTCCATCAGAGACACATGGGCCAGCACTTATCACCAGGAAAAGTGGAAGAAGCTGACCTTGACCTCTCTGCCCCACCCCTCTCTTCCTGGCTGCTCCTCAGGCTAGGGCTATCTTATACATCTGCATGTCCCCAGTATCTGGCCTAATGCTAGACCCACAGGTTTACTGGAAGAATACCAGGGCAATTTTGAAATGCAACAGTGCATTTTAGAGTCAATCCCCAATTAAACTCAATTATACTTCAATCACAGACTTGTGTGTCACAATCTAAGTTCTATGTGACCTTGAGTCTTGTGACCCTGAAGGGGCAATGTCAGTGCCTGGCGTTACAAGAGATATATCGGATATAAACAACTGAACACCGACCTGATCAGACATATGCTTAGGAACTGTTAGCTGTTATTAATATTATTATCATCATAATTTATGGATGGAGGAATAGGCCCTTGGGAGAGAGATGAGGGCAACCAGAACTTTGCCAGTTTGAAGCAGCCATAAAGATTGTAATTTTCTTTTTTGGTGCTAGTCATGGGGCTTGATCTCAGGCCCTTATCTTTTTCTCTCAATGCTGGTGCTCTATGACTTGAGCCACAGCTCCATTTCTGGTTTGTTTGTTTTTTTGGTAGTTAATCAGAGATAAAAGTCTTACAGATGGGGGAAGGGGGGGGAAGGAGAAGGATTGGGATTGGGGGGGAGGGGGGAGGCTGGGAAGGGATGTGAAGGGTAAACCAAGGAGGAGGCTGCAATGCTTGGTAAGAAATGTACGAATTATCCTGCCCATGTAATTGTAACTCCTCTGTACAGCATGTTCACAAATAAAATAAAATTAAAAAAAAAGTCTTACAGATTTTTTCTGCCTGGGCTGGCTTCAAACTGTGATCCTCATATCTCAGCCTCCTGAGTAGTTAGGATTATATACATGAACTACAGGCATGAGCTACTGGCGCCTGCTACAACTGCAATTTTAAGTGAGATTTGGAATAAGAATAAGGAAGAGAGGATTTCATTTCTGAGACAATGGCAGAAAGCCAACCAAGAGAGATGACAGAATTACTCAGTTCTCACTAAAGTATCTATCTTATGTGAGAATAATCTTCAAACCGAAAAAAAATTAAAAGTAAGTATTGGTTGGAAAGAAAAGGTCAGTTGCCCTATAATGCAAATGCAGAAGGGGAAGACAGGGAACACCTCTCAAAATTGGCTTTTGTCTCTTGGCTCACAAATGACATCAGTGGACAATGAAATAGCTTGCAGATGTGGTTAGCATGTGTAACTTCAAGAACTTGGAGCAAAAGCTTTCCCAATCTCTGATGAGTGTGTGTGTGTGTGTGTGTGTGTGTGTGTGTGTGTGTGTGTGTGTGAGAAGAGTGAGAGAGTGTGAGAGCAAGAGAGAAGGAGGGAGGGAGGGTGGGAGGGAAGAAGGGAAAAAGAGAGTTGGGAGGGTGTTAGAAGATTCTGGGAACTGCACACCAGAACTTAATGTCAATCTTCAATTAAATAGATGTCTGTGGCCATGTGGGAAAGAAGTAGTGATTGCTGGGAGCCAGTTTGAGTTCACTTAAAGCAAGATCCATCAAACATACTCTCTTTAAAAGAGGGGGGAGAGGTCTCTTTTAGGCAGCTATGGTAGAGTATGCCTATAATCCCAGCACTCAGGAGGCTAATATAGGAGAATTAAGTTACAGTAAGACCTTCTCTCTCTCTCTCTCTCTCTCTCTCTCTCTCTGTGACATACACACACATACATACAAAGCATGTTTTATTCTCAGTGGAAGCGATTTTGTGAGGCATTCTGGCTTATGTAGTAAACATTTATTCATCATTTCCTATACCAGGGAAAGAAAGATGACAGATGAGGTTTCAGAAAGAGACCCTACAATGGGTGGAACCTGTGACTGGAGGGTACTGGCAAGCAGTGTCAATGATGGCCAGTTGGAAACTGGAAAGTAGCAGATCAATGGCTGTTTGGAGCGAGATCTTGGGCTGATTTTAGTTTAAGTTTGTTCAACATTCTCATCAAAAACCAGGACAGAGACCCAAAGGACATGTCTATCAAAGGAGCCATGACCAGAGGCTGGTCTTGAGAGACATGCTGGAATGATACACCCCATAGCAACACTGAGTCTAGCTCAGGGCTCCGGTGGTACATCAAGCACCGTGTTCTAATCGAAGGAACAGTCTTGTGGCTCACTCTGGGGAAGCAACACAAATACAAAGAAAACTGAAGTTCCATACTGCACCTGACAAGCCTGCCAATCGATCTTAGAAGGCTGAGAGTGGCCGCCCCAGGTTGAGGGAATGAGTGGGACTCAGGGACAGAAGTTACAGTGAACTGCTCCTGGGAGAAGGGCAGGACATTTCAGAGACAGCAATCCCCGCCCGTCTCTATCAGAAAGAGACTTTGTGACATGAAGAGATGGCCAGAGAACAGAATGGCAAATTCTGAGAAGCAGTGAGCCTCTCTTCAGGTATTCAAATAAAGCTAGTCAACCTGGAAGGAGGAGACTATACTTTAGGCTGAGGCCTTCTGGAATCTTGTGTTCACCCGGCTTGCCTGCATGAGTAGCAGGCAGGGGGTGCTTCCTGGAGGAAGTCCTTTCTGAGTAGATCAAGGAGATGGAGACAGCCAAGCTCGCTCTGGTGGCTCACACCACTCTAGCTACACAAGAGGCTGAGATCTGAGGATTGCAGCTTGAAGGCACCTTGGCCAGAAAAGTCTAGGAGACTCTTATCTCTAATTAATCAGCAAAAAGCTGCAAGTGAATGTGTGGCTCAAGTGACAGAGCTCCGGTGTTGAGCACAAAAGTGAAAGAGATTCCGAGTCTGAGTTTAGTGTTTGTAACATTCCATTGACTTGTGGGCTCAACACATTCACAAAGACCAGGTAAGTTCTCCTCCCTGCGATCCTTGAGATGGGGCCCGCTGAGGACACATACTCTCTTACTCACGGGGTCCTAGCAGAGGAGAGGACCATGACCGATCGCAGTTACCTTCTCCCCAGGTGTCACAGAGATGCGCCATACACAGTGCATGTGGGCAGAGTAGCCATTGGGGTACTCAGGCGAGGAGAAGTTGCCTGTGCTGTCCTGCAGGGTCTCTCCACAGGCTGCCAAGAAAAGGAAGTGACTGGGATGATTGGATGCAGGCACCATATCCCCCTGTCTCTGGCTTTCCCCACCCTGAGCCTTGGTACAATTTAGGGGACAGAGGTGTGACTGAGAGGGACTGGTCCTATCTCTTTAAGATCCACTCCCCGCCCCCCCCCGCCCCCCCCATACACACACACACCATCCTACCTCCTGGGCCTAGTGCTACCAGGGTAACCAGATGCCCTGTTGTCAAGGCAACATGGGCTTCCGAGTTAAGCTCCTTTGATGGGTCTCACTTTCTCCTCTGCCCTGGAAGAGTTCTGCTCTTCCCTTTCTGTTCTGATCACCTATCCTGCACTTTCCTAGACACCCTGAAGACAGATGGCTCCATTTTTCTTGCCACCACGTGGTCTCTGAGCTAGAACCCTAGCCTTTCCTTAGTGGCTCTCCCCTAACATCCTTCTCTGAGAATTAAGGCTCAGACATGCTTGGTGGCCCCAGGCCCCAGCAAGCTGCTTCCCTTGGATCCCACCTTCTACCCCATAGTAAGGCCTGTCCCTTCCTGCTCCCACCTGGGCACTTGTAGAGTTTGCGGGCCTGGGCGATATCCCCTTTGCTGAGTCGGGTCCTTTGGCCAATAGGAGGCTTCACTCCATTTACCTCATACTTGGGGACAATGGTGTCCAGGAAGATGCCCCTGAGGAGGACATGGGGAGGGGGAGGGCACTGGTCAGTGGAAAGCGGGCAAGGAAGGAGGGCAGTGTGCCCATCTGCACCCACAGGTCATGATCCTACCAGAGCCCAGACATTCCTCAGCAGGGTCAGGGACGGGTGGAGACATCTCACCCTGTCATTAAGCTGCCCACTGACCAGCAGCCACCCTGCTCCGTGGCAGCCATACCACAGGAGTTGGGGGGAGCCCCAGGAACACTCTGGGAGGTCAGAGACCTGGGCCTGGTTTCAGTTGCCCAGCTCAGTCACCCCAACTCCCAGCCCTAGGAAGGCTTCCGACTGAGTCCATCACTGCTGTGGGCCTCTCCCAGGCTCCAGTGCTGACTCAGCCCCCATGAACTTCTCCCAGGACTGCTGGGCCAACTCATCACCCTCTGATCCGCTGTGTCTGACAGAACCTGGAGAAAGGCCAAAGGGCAAGGGCAGCTTCCACCGTGGCCAGCCGGCTCCCAGGCCCCATTGTCTGGGTCCCCTGGCTAAAGCTTGCAGTGTTGTTGTGGGAGGTGGAGGAAGGGGAGGTGGCAGTCTTCCGCCTCCCCGGGGCTCCTGACTCACACTCAGCTGGGCAGAGCACGGCAGGGGTGGGAAATGGAAGAAGGGTCTGTGGGTGTGGAGGGCAGAATGACTTCACTGCCCTGCCTTCTCTGTTCTCAAATCTGGACCAGGAAGAGTGGTGGGTCTAGAAGGAACTAGGAGAAGAAGGGGGAAAGAACCACTGCCCCAGACAGGGATGTGGAAGAGGAAAGAGCCTGGCCATGAGAAGGCCAGGCCAGGCAGGAGCGTGGAGAGGGGCCCTCCACCCTCTAATGGGCGGGGGCTGAGCCACTGGTACCTGGGGGGTTCTTGCTATGACTTCTGGGAAGCCAGTGGGTAAGGAGGTTATCTTGTGAGCTGGCAAGAGGGAGCAGAAGCCAGGCTTTGTTCAAATTAGCCAATCACAAAAAGGCAGATAACTAGGAAACAGGGCTCTCCTCTAGGGACCAAGAAGAAAAGTGTGCCCTTTTGTAAGAGAGAAAGCCCAAGCCCACACCAGGCACAGGTGCCTCACACAGTAATCCTAGCCACTCAGGAGGCTGAGAGCTGAGGGCTGGGCTTCAAAGCCAGCTGGGATAGGAAAGCCCCATGGACTCTTATCTCCAATTAAACACCAAAAAGCCAGAAGTGAAACTGTGGCCCAAGAGGCAGAGCACTGGTCCTAAGTTCAAACCCCAGGGCTGACCCCCCAAAAAGCCAACCCCACTAGCTCCTTTGGGCCTTAAGAGTGTGGGAGCTCACAGAGCAGGGTTCATGCAGCGCTGGACCTCAGCCTTCCATGCCGAGTGCCCGTGGCGTGCACAGCAGTAGACTAAGAGGGGCCACTCTCCCAGGAAGCGGACAGTAGGTCAGGCAACACCACAGACCTTCTGCCTGGGGGCCACAGCCACTCAGAGAGCCACTGTGCCCTCACGAATGGGAGCTACAAAGCGAATGGCTTCCAGAAGGCGCTCAGCCCTTCTCTCACCTGGAGAACGTGTTCCGGGCATAGTGCATGATGCTGTCGAAGTCATACGTCTCCCCCAGGGACTCCACCTCCTGAACCTCCATCTTTAGGAAGTTATACTCCTGCCCTGTGAGGACCAGGAGAAGGGGGTGGGTGGAGGTGGAGGACAGTCTCCATCTTCCCTGTACCTGAGAGGCCTCCTAGACTTAAGGGTCCAAGAAGCAGCCAATGGGAGTCAGGGAGTGGGGGGAAGGGGCTGTAGAAGAGTCCTGTCCAGCCAAGAGGCTGGTGAGCTGGGGGAAGGCCAGGGACATAGGGAGGAGCTCTTAGAAGACAGCTGGAAGAAGGCAGGAGACTGCAGAAAGCTAGAGGGAAAGGCCTGCAGCAAGGTCCAGCAAGGAACCAACTGTACCCTTCCCTCCCTCCCCTGCCCCCCCCCCACTCAGGTCAGCTAGGTTCTAGAAGTTCAACCTGGTCCTTCTGACCAGAACCACAACTTGTGGCAGCCCCCAGCTGCTCCACTGATGTGGGATCCTTAAGTTACTAGCAGCCCTGAGTAGCTGCCTGGGGTAGGGTCCAGACCCCTGGGCTGTGGACAGCAGCTACAACTCCCACCCCATAGGTAGCCTTGGAGGGGAGAAGGGCCAGAGCAAGAGATGCCTCATACCTGGCTGGATATTCTCACGTACAATAGAGACATGGCGGTCTCGGTCAGGCCGTGTGTGCTCATGCCAGAAGCCAATGACGTGGCCCAGCTCGTGGACCACGATGCCAAACTTGTCACAGTTCTTGCCGATGGAGATGGCCTGGGGGCCCCCACCACGGCGACCCACGTAGGAGCAGCACCTGGAGGGCGGGGCCAGCTCAGGGGGGCGGTCCCGAGCTGGGGGAGTGCATCCACTCAGGGGCCGGGCCAGGCTGCCAGGGGCGGCAGGGGAACAGAGGGGTGGGGGTGGGGGTCCCTGAGCACCCACTGTCATCCAGGCTTTGTGCCAGGCACAGAGTCATACCAATGGGAGATGCCCCGTTGGCAGGTGGTGTGGGTGGTGCCCAACTGGAGGCCGTGGCAGTGCCCAGGGCAGCACCTGGGGGGAGGGGTGGTCATGGTCAAGGGTCCAGCACCCAGGGGGGTCCCTGCTCACCCGCAGGGTCGGTAGGTGAATACGATATAGCTGTCCTCATCTGTGCGCTCCAAGAAGGTGACACAGGTGTGTTTCTCCCAGTGTCTCATGGCCTGCCGGAAGACTGCCCGCTGGCTGCCTGCCAGGAAGAAGGAAGCCGGGCTGTCACAGGGTTAGGGGGACACCTCCGCCACAGCTTGTGGACAGACAGGCCCAGGGTGGCAAGGCCAGAGTCAGCTGCAAGATGTGCCCAGGGCAACACAAGAGTGCACTCACCAGTAAAGTTCCCCCCAATAACAAAGGGGATGACCCCATCGGGCCACACGCGCTCTGGTCTGGACGTCGCTGCCCGCCGGCTCCGGCTCCGGGGTCTGCCTCGCCATCTCCCCCGGGGTTCCCTCTGCGCCTGCCCACCACAGCTCGGGCAGCCAGGGACAGAAGAGTTTCCTGGAATTGGAAGAGGAAGAAGGCTCTGGCAGCTGGCAAATGGACAGAAGAAGAAACAAAGCACAGTAGAGCCCCATCGTGGGTGGAGTCCACATGTGTGAATTTGCCAACTTGCAGAAATGTGTTTGCAATTCCCAGATCGATGCTCAGGGCTCCCGTGGTCATCCATGGATGTACCCAGAGTGAAGAAGCTGTCAGCAGAGGTTCAATGAGGCGACACTGCCTGCTTGTTTCAATGTCATGCGGTAAACAAGCAATCCTTTTGGGGTACATTGAGAGCCACTTTTTTATATACTGGTGCTTTGGGTTAATAATTTCGCTGTTTCAAATAGCTTCCAAGTGTGCTGAGGGGCTGTCTTATGTTCTCAAGGACAAGAGGACAGGGAAATTCAATAAATTTGTTCAGGCCTGGCTCAGTGCTGTTGGCCATGAGTTTAATGTTAGTAAATCAGCTGTGTATTATTAAAGTGTCTCTAAATGAAACACACGTAAACTATAATCATAGCCAGGTGCAGTGGGGCATGCCTGCAATTCCAGCTACTTAAGAAGCAGATATAGAAAGATCATAAATCAAGGCTAGACCAGTCAGGAGGATCATCAGGGTCGGAGGACAGACCTAGGCAAAGGCGTGAGATACCATCTGAAAAATTAACTAAAGCAAAAAGGATGGGGGAGGGGGAGAGACAGGATATGGCTCAAATGGTAGAGTATGAGGCCTTGTGTTTATTAAACACACACACACACACACACACACACACACACACACACACACACACCACATCGCGCATAGTAATCAGCTGACAAATGAGACCAGAGCCCACAATTCCTCTAAGTATAATGACTCAGTATTTGTGAATTCAGTGTTTTTGATGACAATATAGAAAATCCCTAAAGTTGTACAATAACTATGAAACTATGCTATAACTATGCATCACTCCCACGAATGACAAGAATGGGCTGGGTTTGCAAATGAGGGTGATGATATATTCATTTCCTAGCAACTAGAGGACCTGGGGGAGCTACGATTTATAAGCTGTCCTTTCCCAACGAAGAAACCTTGATAGCTGTAGTACAATACAGACTTTTATATTTTCTTAGATTTACATGTTCATGGGACACAGCAGCATTATGGGAGTCTGGCAAGGAGACCAAGGCCAAAGCTTTGCCCAGAGATTTGCCCCTTGTGGACCATGTCTACAACTCCCCACTAAGGTCCTGTAAACTCTGTCACCAGGCCACCATCAATCTCTGATGCCAGTTGTCTTTCTGCAGTAGTTGCCCTCCCTTCTCCTAGCTGCCTACACTAGAGTCCTCCCTTCCGCTGGCCAGGAGACTGCCTAGCATACAGAGGCCAGAACTGAACCTCAACCAGAATCCCTGCCTTGGACAATAGGAGAGCACTGTGTGATCTCCCAGGTCCTGCTCCAAGCATCAGCATGGAATGCACAAGACAAGGGGAAGCTGGGAAGAGTTGACTCTGCCCAGGCCCTCATTCCTCATTCTCTTTCCTCTGTATTGGTGCCCATGGGCTGCTGGATGCCTAGGCCACCAAGGGAAAAAAGGAACTGGCCTGACCCTGAAGAGCCATGTAGAAGATGGGCCACTGAAATCAACTGTATGCATGTGAAGTAGTTAAGAGAGATGCTTGATGAGCCTTGAGCTGAATTGTTCAGGGACAGCTCCCAGGCCTAGAGCTCAAGCCCCACGACTGACAAAAAGAGAGAAAGAGAGAGAGAGAGAGATCTTTCATGCGATTGTTTCTAACATATTTATAAGATTATGTCTTTGTTGCCTTGTATGTCCCTCCCCGCTGGTATAACCCCTACTTTCACTATATGTGATGTTGGTATATGTGGAGGGAAGGGAAAAAACAAATTGTTAAAACAGGGATACAGGAGGAGGACCCATTGCAACAATGAGATGTACAAGTCGTTATGTGGAAAAACGAACTTTACAACTTTGGTGGGAGGTACGGGGCCGGGGGGGAGGATGGGAAGGTGGGAAGGGGAAACAAAGCAGGAGGCTACAATGTGCTCATTATCTTATCCATGTAATTGTAACCCCTCTTTACAGTATTTTCACAATAAAAATATATTAAAAATAAAAAAGAGAGATGCTTGCTAACTATTCATGCAGAGTAGAGGGCCTCAGGGCTGCAGGGGTCAGTTGTATCAAAGGGACAGTCAGGAAAGAGTTACAGAAGAAGTGCCTGAGAGGGACCTCAGACAATGCATCAAAGTTTACGAAGTGGGACTCAGAACCAAGGGGACTAGCAGATAGGGAGCATCTCACAAGACAGAATTCTTGGGTTCAAGTCCCAGTCCTGTCTTTCACCAACAAGATATTCGATATTGAGCAAGTCACTTTCCTTCTGCAAGGCTATTTCTGTTTAAGACAGGTGGTGCCCTGACACATCTCTGTGAAGGTGGCTAGGGACAGGGCAAGGGCTAGAACTCAGGGCCTTTCACTCTTGCTTGGCTTTATCTGCTCAAGACTGGCTTGCTACCACTTGAGCCACTACCTCCACGTCTGGCTCTTGTTGATTAATTGGAGATAGTCTCTTGGATTTGTCTGCCTGGGATTTATCTGCCTGGGCTGGCTTCCAAACATGATCCTTAGGTCTTAGTTTCCAGAGTAGCTAGGATTACAGGTGCGAGCAAACCAGCACCAGGTTAGGAAGCACTTTGTTGGCTGTTAGTTGAAAACATGCTACTCTTAGCCCCTGGGTGTGTCTATATTTACAACTCCTCTGGGTAAGGATAAAGACATGCCAAGCTAAGGCCCCTATGCTGGGTTCAAGCTTGTGGCCTCTGTTCTAGGAGAGGCTGGCTGGAAACAGGGAGGGGGAGGAGCCCTTTTTCTTCAAGTCCGGAACTCATCTCTGGGACACGGGGCTGGCCTGTCCCCAGCATACCTGCAGCTCTAATGGATGACCTGCGGGCTGTTCGCTGTCTGAGATCTGCAGCTTGCTGCGCCTGGAAGGTCCTCAAGTCTTCCTCATCCAGAGCAATGTCCCCAAGAAAGGCAGCTGGAGAAAACAGAAGAGGTGGAGTTAATACTCTTAACTAGGACAGGGTGCAGCATGCTCGTAGCCCTGACTGTGGGTACATGGCCCAGTCACCATAGCAACTCTGGCCCTCAAAAACCACCATCAGCTTCTAGAAGCTCCTGAAGAGCATTCTGGCTTCTTTGATAAAAATCTCAATAAAAGTTGGGCTCAGTGCCACATGCCTATAGTTTCAACTGCTTGGGTGACTGAGGTAGGAGGATCATTTGAGCCCAGGCACTAGAGGCCAGTCTGAACAACATGGTGAGAGCCTGTCATGTGTATGTGTTGTATATGTGTGTGTGACTAAGGATTGAACCCAAGGCCTCACATATGCGAGGCAAGCACTCTACCACGGAAGCCATGTTCCCAGGCCTTTTGTTTGTATTTTACTGTCATTTGGTAGTGGTGGGGTTTGAATTCATGAACTTAGACTTGCTAGGCAGTTACTCGACAACCTGAACCTTATTCCCAGTCTTAGATTTTTGAGAGGGTCTCACTAACTTTGCCCAGATTAGCCTCAAATTCACTATTCTCCGATCTCTGCCTCCCAAGTCACTGGGATTGCTGGCGAGTATCATTACATCTGGCTGAAACTTTAATGCTTAAAAAAAAATATAGGCATGGTGGTTCACACCTGCAGTCACAACTATATGGGAGATACAGATCTAGAGGACTGTGGTTGAAGGCCAGCCCAGCCCAAAAATGAGTGAGACTTTATCTCAACAAATAAACTCTGCAAGATGACATATGCTGATAGCCCCATTGCTTTCCAAGTGTTACTTCAAACAAAATCCTGAGACTCAATATAAAAAAAAAAAAGGTTTGGGTGTATGTGGCTTAAGTGGTAGAGTGCTTGCTTAGCAAGTGTGAGGCCTGGAGTTCAAACCTTAGTACCACCAAAAAGTAATATGCACTCAATATAAAAATAAAATAGGTCTGGGTTTGCACCCAGTGTAGAGTACTAATTTGCCTGTCATGAGCAACGTTTTGGCTTCCATCCTTAGCACCACATAAAATAAAATCCCAGCAAAGGAGAGACACCACACTGGAGTTCCACGAATACACAGTGTCATTTATTTCATCATTCTTCAGCAAATACTTAGTCAGCACCTACCATGGCTAGGCACTATGCCAGTGACTAGCAAGACAGAAGAGATCTCTGTCCTTGTGATACTAGCCTTCAGCAATACAGAGTGCACAAGTACTGACAGACAATTCTGGGCAGTGACATGGGCTCTGAAGAAATACAAGAGGAAGAGGTGATTGCATCTATGCTATGATGTAGGAGGTATCCACCAAGGGCCCATGTGTCAGAGGCTCAATCCTCAAGACAGTGCTGTTGGAGGCCTATGGGAAGGCCTCAGGTTACTGGGACCAGGGCTCTGTGACCATGTGCAAGTACACTGCAGACTCTGAGGCTCCGTCCCTTCCTCTCCTTGCTTCCTGGATGATGAAGTAAGCAGTTATACTTCTGCCAAGTGCTTCCATCATGTTGGGCTCCCTTGCCAGAGGGAAGGGGTTCCCACCATCTTGAACCAGACACTCTAGGACTGGGAGCCAAAACTCACCTTTTCTCTTCCTAAGTCAACAATCTCAGGTATTTTGTTATAGTAACAGAAAGCTGATTAACACAATCTATCTGTGTACATGGCAAATGTCATTTCAATCAAATCAAGGAGAGGGTATGAAGTATAGTAAAAATGTCTAATATCTTTATTTTCCAATAAGATTTGGAGCAGGTAAGCCAGGCGTGGGTGGCTCACACCTGTAATCCTAGCTACTCAGGAGTCTGAGATCTGAGGATCGCGGTTCAAAGCCAGCTCGGGCAGGAAAGTCCGTGAGACTCTTATCTCCAATAAACCACCAGAAAACCAGAAGTGGCGCTGTGGCTCAAGTGGTACAGCACTCGCCTTGAGCTGAAGAACTGAGAGACAGAGCCCAGGCCCAGAGTTCAAGCCCCATGACCAACAAAAAACATTGGAGCAAGTAAACCAAAATACACACCAAGAGCTTCCCAACAAGCAGGAAAAAGTTAGACAGTTCTTAAGCAATTCCTATTCTGAGTTGTTGGGTCTCCTGTCTGGAGGAAGAGGCCCTGGGACTTTTGGAGCTGGGGAGAGATGTTTCCAAAGAGATGGGCTGAGCAGCCTGTCTTCTTTCTATGTCTGGAACATGAGGAGGCAGGACCAGAGAACCGGCCACTCGGGAAGAAGTCCAGATGTGAGCTCCAGTCTCCGCTGAGCTGGAAGCGGATGCCAGCCCCGCCCCCAGTGACATCTGCTTCTGCTCCCAGCAGAGGCTTCCTGGGCCACACCAGGCAGTCAGTATTATACAAACTGTCTTAACCTCGAGGCGTTCTACACAGAATTCTCCTCCCCAGTTGACCCCATTAAGTGAACACATACACAGAATCAGACACATGTGGTTAGTACATACAGAGACACATAGTGATGCTCCAATGCTGCCAAGTCCAGCATCGGCAAGCAGGACCCAGCACCAGCTTTGAGGAGGAAGGCATTTAGTGAACTGTGTCTCAAAGAATGAAATGCCAGCCTATAAAACAGAATGTTGAGTGACTTTAGCAACTCTCTAGGCCATCTGCCACGTTACAGTTAGGGAAACTAAGGCGCGAAAGGGCACTGACTCAATGGAGACCACACTGCTAGTTTCTAGAAGGGTCCACATTCCCAGTCTAGTGACCAGGACCACTGCTATCAGGTTCATTACCTCTCTAGACACCATGTTGTGTTGTGTGTGTGTGTGTGTGTGTGTGTGTACACAAAAATAGACACAAACACACATTCACAAATACAGTCATAGATGGTCCTAGAAAATATACAGAAACAAATCCCAACATACACACACAAGCCAAAGGCAAGTTCAGAACTCATTAAGCCAATTATAGTAGCCATAATGACACCTTATGTAAATGTCTGTTGAAATGTATATGGTGTTTGCCAGTTGACGAAGTGATGGTACTTTATCAGTTCATTTAATCCTGGCCCACCCCTGAAATACCCAGGAAGCCATATGCCACTCCATGCTTTTGCCAAGGCCTGTCCCATCATAAGCAACCAACCAGCCCCCCCCAGACTTCAAAGTTCAGAAGCTTTGGGTCCAAGAAGGAAATGACCTGCCTCAGGGCACCAGCCTGCGACTGAGGCAGTCTCTTCCAGACCATGAGAACGCATCTCTTCCTTAGGATGCTACTTTCCAAGCCTGGGCTTAGAGATGCATGGGAGATACTTCTCAGCTGACAGGCACGAGAAGCCCCGGGCAGATATGAATAGGAAGTCAGCTCCAGGGAGGAGATGGGAAAGTCCTTCCTGCCAATGTCACATGTCTGTATAACACGAACATCTTGCACTTTGTACACTGTACAGCTTTCCACTGATACCAAAATCTGAAGATACTCAATTTCTTGATCGAAAATGACATCATTCTTATATGCAACCTACTCAATATTCTCCTGTATATTTCAAATCATCTCTAACTTTTGTACCTAAAACAATGTAAATTTGTTATATTGTGTGGTCTAATAAATAATAAGCTAGGTGCCGGTGATTCAACCTGTAATCCTAGCTATTCAGAAAGCTGAGATCTGGAGATTGCAAATTCAAAGCCAATTTGGGTAGAAAAGTTCACTAGATTCTATACCCAAAATGACCAGCAAAAAGCAGGATGGGAAGCATGGCTCAAGTGACAGAGCACCAGCCGAGCAACTGAGTGCAAGCCCCAATATTGTGCCCCCCACACACAAAAAGCCAGTAATAGTAACAAGGAAAGAGTCTATATATGCTTAACATAGACACATTTTTTTCTTTTATCTATTGGGCATTTCATACTTTTATCCTCAAATAGTTTTAATCCATAGTTGGTTTGAAACCTGGAGGTGGAGCCCATGGTTAAGAATTGTACCCATATGGATAGATTTTTAGACCCTCATTAACTAGACAGGCAGCAAAGAACAATGTTTGAGAGTCAGATTCTCAAGGGAATTAAAACTCTTCTACACCTCAACTTCATTCTAAATAAAAAGGGGACTATTAATCAAATTCATCTTCTAGAATCCCAGGCAAGTAAATGAAGTCACTACAGACAGAGCCCGAAGCACAGTAAGCACCCACTAACCAGTACCCACTAGACCAGAAACTCAAAGTCAGCTCTAGACCTCCCTGGGTCCCCCACACTTATTCCTACCCCTCAGATGAGACCCAAGGACAGAGGCCACAATACGGTGCTATCCTGAGGGACCAGGGCAGGGCAAATGGAAATGGAACAGGGCTGGCTGCAGGCTCAGCTGGGAGTGGGCGCCCTGTGGTGGGGATGTCATGGCTGAAGAATGCATGGGAACAGAGTGGGGGTGGGGTGGGCAGAAGAGCCTTATGGCTGGGAACTAGGCCTGAGACCTAACCATTTGGGACCCTGACCTCAGGAAGTTAGGGAATCTGGATGCCCCTCTGACCCACAGGAAGCCCCAAGGTCAGAGTGTCTTCAACACAGGCTCGAAAGCTTTTGTTTTGTTTTGTGGCTGTAAACCAACCAGAAGCACTCCTGGCTGCTCCAGCACCAAGCTGGACACAAGAGGAAGAAGAACAGAAAGAGTCACATCGTCTACCTGGACCTGGGGAGGAATCTCTGTTCCCAGATTGGCCTCTAGACTCCAAAGCCCCTTCTCTGGAGGTCCAGCAAGGCCTCCCACACTGGGCAGCCTGGTGGGTGTGATGGCATTCAAGGCTATGCATGCCTGGAAGCGCACAGGCATACAGGCTCCGAGAGAAGGGAGTTCACACCTGACACAAGCCCTGGGTGCAATCATGTGTCCCCTACACATGGCTGCACATTTACACTTGCGCTTCCTCAGGATCAAGCACACACTGTGAAGCATCAAACGTGCCCAGGTTGTACCCACAAATGCACACTAACACCCATCAGCCACTTCCGAGCAAGTTCTGGTATTCTCAAACAACCGAAAAACTGCTGGTGCGTGCTGCATATCCTAAGCGATGCTCCCTCAAGTTCTGAGAAGGGTGACCCTAGAAATGGATAGGATGTATGTAAGAGAGAGGAAGAAGAAGAAGACAGAGAAAGGAGACAGAGAGACAGTGACTGAGCCTTCCTGATCCTTCCTCAGTGGTCTTAATGGTCTAAGGAGTGACCCACTGTACTCCTATCCCCCTCAAATATATTTTCCCCGAATCTCTAGATGAACAGAATTCTTCACCTTCCTTCCTTTCCTTTCTTTTTGGTGTTGGTACTGGGCTTGAACTCAGGGCCTCTTGATCTTGCTTAGCTTTTTTACTGAAGGCTGGTGTTTTACCACTAGAGCCTTATCTCCACTTCTGGCTTTCTGCTGGTTAATTAGAGATGACTCTTTTAGATTTGTCTGCCAGGGCTGACTTTGAACTGAGATCCTCAGATCTCAGCCTCCTGAATGGATAGAATTAAAGGTGTGAGCCACAAAGGCCCATCAAACTAGGAGACAATTCTTACAGTCCCTTTCTCCCTAGGACTTTCACTAGTCCTTCTCCATGCAGAACCCAGGTAGACTGTATTTTCTTCCTCCCTCAGGACACTTAAAAGACAGAGTGACTCAGGAAGTAGGGGCTTAGGTGGGTGGGTGACTCACTCAGCGTGTCTGGAAGGGGAAATGTGGTTTGGTGAAAGAAGAAATCCTGCTCAATCTCCCAAGACTGCATCCTGCTCCCAGGCGCCATGAAATCCGTACCTGGGCCCTGGAGCTCCAAGGGTGAGGATGGATGTGATGAGGGGCGGTGGGTGGTACGCTACACAGCTCACCTCACCTTCACCAGATCTGAGCTGAGGAAGCCAGGGCTTTCTAAGTCCAGGTCAAGGTTCCAGGGGCTTTTCTGCTTATGGGATCAACTGTGTCCCCATTCCTGCCTTCAGGGTCTACCCCTCCCTGCGCCTCATGTGTCACTGACAAATCAACTGGAGCAGCCAAGCGAAGCTAGCAATCTCAGACAGACCTAACATACCAGACACCAGGGCTGCCTTGAAATCTCCCAGGCAAGGGCTACAAATCAGCTTGGGAGAAAAGCCCAGTGGACAACTTCCTGTCCACTGTTGTGGTCTTGCTCCAAACTCCAGAACCTTCCCCCAGGGTATCAAGGGTCTTAAATTTGCTCTTAGCTGGGTATAGTGGTGCATACCTATAATCCCAGCACTCAGGAGGCTGAGCCACTCATGAGTTTGAGCCTGTACTACATAGTGAGACTCTGCTTCAAAAAAAAATTGGTCAGTAACTCTCAGAGGTGATTTGAAATAATAGGGCTTGGCCATTTGTGGGGCGATCTGAGAGATCACAGGTAAGCAGAGAGAGTTGTTTTTATTGCCTGCCCTCAGTGTAGGTGGAGGAGGAGACGGAGAAAGCTGGAGAGGAAAGGCTGTGGGGTGAGAAGTACACCAGCCACATCCAAAGGAAGTAGAGGCAGGCGCCTGCCAAGGTCACCTCCAGCATCGGGAAGTCAGGACTGCAGAGCAGCCAAGAAGCAAAACCAGGCAGAAGACAACGCAGAAATGAGAGTCCAGGGACCTATGGCTTTTGGGGTAGGGGACAGGGAAGAGGCCAGAAAGCCAGACTCAGTAGAGGTGTCTCTGAGCATGTATGCTAGTCTGTGTGTGCATGCAAACACCTCTCTCTCTCTCTCTCTCTCTCTCTCTCTCTCAAGCACATCCAGGAAGACAGACCCAAATCTCCTCCAGGGATGGGTCACAGGGCTTGCACATCAGTCACACCCAATCAGGAGGCCTGGTTTGACCTTGTCAGACTCACAGACCTTCCCAGCCACCCCAAGCCTGGCCCAACTCCCCACCAGCCTCACTTCACCCTGGTGGAGAGCTTTCTCCAGAGCCCTTGTTTGAAGTTCCAACTGAGCCAGCTCCACCCTAGTATGAAATATGAACCGGGGTAGAGCCTCAGCCTCTTGCAGTTCCCCAAATTGTTCCCATTTTCAACATCAGTATGGCTCCCTACCCATTCTGTGAGGCCATGTCTCTGCTCCAGTCCTCTACAAAGACACCAGGCTGCAAATCTTCCTGGTTGCCTGTGACCACGTTGCTCGCCTGCCCAGTCCCAGGCCTGTGAAGGGAGCATGGGATACCCCACCCTCTAGTGCAGCACTTCACACCCACCAGCTGTTGTATACTCTTGGGGTCTGCGGGACTATAAGCTCCCCAAGGGCAGGGGCCTGTCTGCACCTGCACTGCCAACAACAGGGAGCCCAGGCCTGAGACATGCCAGCGACTAGTAAATGCAGATTGGTGGCTGGGTAAGTGACAGGCTCAAGGATGGAGCCAGGGCTGTTAATTTTAATAGAGAAAAGAAGAGGAAGAAAAGAAAGAAAGAAGGAAGGAAGGAAAGAAAGGAAGAAAGGAAAAGAAGGAAAGAAAGAAAGGAAGAAAGAAGGAAAGAAAGAAAGAAAAGAAAGAAAGGGGGAGAAGGAGAGGGAGGGAGGAAAGAAGGAAGGAAGGGAGGAAGGAAGAGAAGGAGGAAGGAAGGAAGGAAAAAAGAAGGAAAGAAAGGAAGAAAGGAAAAGAAGGAAAAAAAGAAAGAAGGAAAGAAAGGGGGAGAAAGAAGGAAGGGAGGGAGGAAGGGAAGGAGGAAGGAAGGAAGGAAAAAAAGAAGGAAAGAAAGGAAGAAAGGAAAAGAAGGAAAGAAAGGGGGAGAAAGAAGGAAGGGAGGGAGGAAGGAAGGAAGGAAGGGAGGGAGAGAGGTGAAATACAACTTTTTTTTTTGTCAGTCGTGGGGCTTGAACTCTGGGCCTGGGCGCTGTCCCTCAGCTCTTCAGCTCAAGGCGAGTGCTCTACCACTTGAGCTAGAGCGCCACTTCCAGTTTTCTGGTGGTTTATTGGAGATAGGAGTCTCACGGTCTTTCTTGCCGGGGCTGGCTTTGAACCGTGATCCTCAGATCTCAGCCTCCTGAGTAGCTAGGATTACAGGCGTGAGCCACCAGCGCCCGGCAGGCAACCAACATTTATTCAGTGCTTTCTGTGCACTAAGCACTAGTTAAGTGTCTTAGGTATTCTCAGGTTTAGTCCCCGACCTCCAGCTTGATGGAGAGATACATTATTGGTCCCAATTTATGGGAGAGAAAACTGGAAATCAAAGATGCTGGGTAGCTTTCCCCAAGTGGGGGCAATGCCCTGCCAATGTGTGTCCTACCCACCCTACCCACAACCAGTGAGCAACAGGACTGTGGTTTGCCCACAGTCCTAGGAATGTGGAGAAGGGGCTGGAGGGAGGGGGTTGGCTTGTCCTTCCCCCATTGGAAGGGTCTCCTATTCCTGCCTGTGACCAAAACAACAGGGGTAAAGGCATGCAGAGTCCCTAGGCAGGTCTCCGAGGCCAGGGCTACAGCAGCCTGCCCCAGCCCTGTGTCCAGTTGGAGGAACCATGACCCTTCCGGCAGAGCTGGCTATTTGGAAACAGGATGAAGTCAGAGGCAAGAAGTCAAGGGAAAGTTCTGATATCTTGTCCCTTGTGTGTCCCAAGCAGTCTTGCTCGGAATCATCCGTTCAGGCTAATGGCTCCAATGCCTTGCCATCTGGTCACTCCAGAGTCCAACTCCTTCTGGCTGAAGCAAGAGCAAATCCTCTTGGACAAAGAATACACACAGGTGGGGGCCCTGACCTTGGCTGTTGCCTCTGATGTCTGTGGGGTGAGAGGGCTGATGTGAAAATGCCCGAGTTCTCTCTCCTGCGTCTTCTTTGCCAGCCCAGCTGGCCCCATAGGGCTCTTCTGGTGCCCGGGGTGGAGGGTACACAGATAAACCCCCTTCCTAGACTGGCTTCTCTGACTTTGACAGCTGTCTGATGAGTCCTAGAGAGCTGCTGCTGCTGCTGCTGCTGGCCAGGGGTGAGGGTTACCCACAGAATCCACTCTCAGGGGATCCCTTGGAAAACTTTCTTCCCCTTAGTCTGGGTGGTGTCAGGCAGACCGATTCCTTGGAGCTGCAAGTCTCCTGGTACCAACCTAACCAGATGTGCAGCCCCAGGGCAGCCCAGACAGACAGGCTGGCAAACACCAGTGTTCCATTGGAGAGATGAAGAGACGAACGAACACACACACACACACACACACACACACTCAGAGTCCGGCCAGGAAAGTTTCCTGCACACAAGTAAAAAGCCTCCTGGATACGGGATTGTCTCGAACCCAGGGAGATTTCCCCAGGAATCCGCTGGGAAGGCAAGAAGCAGCGGCGGCGGCGGCGGCGGCGGCGGCTTCCACCAAGGGCAGCAGAAAAACTTCAGTCCTCAACTCCCCCAAACTTCCCCTCCCTCTCTCCCTCGTTCTTTTGTTCCCCACTGCATTGCCAACCAGGCAGCTCCCGGCTTCCCACACTGGACTGTCCTCCCCCCACCGCAGCCCCTGCCCGGCCCGCGCCTCGCGCCCGGCCTGCCCCGCGCCCCGGGGGGC